TTAGCCTATTAGTGGAATTTTTCCCTGCCCCCAGTCTCTTACTGTGTGAAGGTTAGGTCTTAGCAATATAAAGGAGACTCACTCAAATTTAGTATGGGGAGCCCTTATTATTTTTAATATATGCTTTTTTGAGACAGGGTCTCACTCAGTCTATCACCAGACTGGGGTGCCATAGCACAATCACAGCTCACTGCAACCTCAAACTTCTGGGCTCAAACAATCCTCCCACCTTAGCTTACTGTGTAGCTGGGACTACAGGTGTGTGCCACCACACCCTTTTGGCTTTTAGTTTTTTGGCTTTTATTTTTTGTAAAGACAGGGTTCCATTCTGTCTTTTATTTGGCTTTTATTTTTTGTAAAAACAAGGTTCCACTCTGTTGCTCAGGGTGGTCTTGAATTCCTGGGCTCTAGCTGATCCTCCTGCCTCTGCCTTCCAAATTGGTGGAGCAACAGGCATGAGCCACTCTGCATGGCCAGAAACCCTTATCATAGTACCTTGAATATATATGATCTCTACCTCATTAACATTCAAAATCTATGAAATACAGTCGACTTTTGATTACGTGGAGTATTTTACTTTAAAATCCCATTTTCTTTCTCTTTTTCTTTTTCTTTTTTTTTTTGAGACGGAGTCTCACTCTGTCGCCCAGGCTGGAGTGCAGTGGCGCGATCTTGGCTCACTGCAAGCTCCGCCTCCCAGGTTCACGCCATTCTGCTGCCTCAGCCTCCCGAGTAGCTGGGACTACAGGAGCCCACCACCACGCCCGGCTAATTTTTTTTGTTTTTTTTTTTAGTAGAGACGGGGTTTCACCGTGTTAGCCAGGATGGTCTCGATCTCCTGACCTCGTGATCCGCCCGACTTGGCCCCCCAAAGTGCTGGGATTACAGGCGTGAGCCACCGCGCCCGGCCTAAAATCCCATTTTCAACAGACTTCCTTCTAGAGTTCATTAAGGGTTACTTACCTGCCACCCGACCCATCTGCACTACATCATTAAACAAAACGAACGAGGTCAGTAAATCTAGTCTGTAGGAGAGAAGCCCATTGCATTCAAAGATTAATGCCTCATTTATTTCAGACATCACTAATCAGCCATTTAAAATGTTTTTAAAAGTTTGGGCCGGCCGCAATGCTCGTGCCTATAATCCCAGCACCTTGGGAGGCTGAGACAGGAGGATCACTTGAGCCCAGGAGTTCGAGACCAACCTGGGCAACATAGTGGGACCCCGTCTCTATCCAAAAATAAACAAATAAATAAATAAATAGCCAGGTGTGGTGGGTTGCACCTGTAGTCCAGCTACGTAAAGGATGCTGAGGCAGGAGGATCCCTTGAGCCTAGGAGTTCGAGGCTGCAGTGAGCTATGATTGTGCCACTGCACTCCAGCCTGGGCGACAGTGAGACCCTGTCTCAAAACAAAACCAAGTTTGGTCACATAAGACTTATGTTTATAATCAGTGCAGAATCATAAAAAGTTTTTTAAAAAGTAAAAGTCTTCTCCCTACCCCACTCCCCTTTCCCCTCTAAATCTTATTTCTCTCTTAGGGGAGACTCAGTGGTTGGTGTATATCCTATCCAGATCTCTTTCTATGTATTTACATACTTATTTATTTATTTATTGAGATGGAGTTTCACACTTGTAGCCCAAACTGGAGTGCAGTGGTGCGATCTTGGCCCACCGCAAGCCTCCTGGGTTCAAGCGATTCTCCTGCCTCAGCCTCCCAAGTAGCTGGGATTACAGGTGCGCGCAACTACGCCCGGCTAATTTTTTGTATTTTTAGTAGAAACTGGGTTTCGCCATGTTGACCAGGCTGGTCTCGAACTCCTGACCTCAGGTGATCCACCTGCCTCAGCCTCCCAAAGTGCTGGGATTACAGGCGTGAGCCACCACACCCGGCCTATACACTTACATTTATAGATACACATTTCATTTTGTGATATTAACATAATGAATCACATTGTCATTTATGTTTTGTTCTGTAATGTGTTCTTTTCCACCCATGCAGCTATGCTGTGCCATGGAGATTTTATCTACCATTTTTAATTATTTGGATCACATTAAAATAATTAGGAAAAAGGCACTAAAAGCCTCCCTGAGCTGCCAATGGGAATGTCAGGTTTCGCACCCTAACTCATTTTCTTTAGAGGATAGCCTTTAGTACTTATTTACTCACATATTGGATATAGTGTTCCTGACCTGTAACAAATTATGTTACATATAAGGGAGAAGACAAACAGGTAGCAAGAAAAAACAGCTTACAAAATTATAGGAAATCCCATAAAATCTCAAAAACTGTTTACTGGCTTGGAGCTTTTACTGTAAGGATGATCTTTACCAGCTTGTACCATAGGGACAAATTATCATCAGTCATTATTTCTTTACCCTGTTATCCTGAGTTTGTGATTATTTCCTCTGGATTTCATTTTTAACTACTGAGACTGAGTTTCTGACACTGAGACTTTCTTTTGCTCAGTGTAGTTGTGTCTACAGTTTTTGGTTGTGATCTGGTTAAGAATTGCAAAGTACGTGTTGTTTAAGCTTTGCATGCAAGCTTGAATAAGCAATAAGTAACTGGTCTTATTTGGTTCACAGCTGTGGACATGTGAAACATTTCCCTGTTTTTTCCTAATATACTTCTTCAGATGTGTGGGCCGTAAGTAGCATCTCCAGATAGAGACTATTAAAAAGGCACAACCTTTATTTATTCAGCAGCTGTTGTTGGGTAGTTAGAGCAAGCTTAATAAAGAAAAGCTTATGGAGAGAATATCTTAAGACTTTGCATTTCGCACATGAGAGGAAATTGTGTGGTAACAGGATGAAGCTAATTTAGGCCCTCCTTTAAATGCCCTAAGGAAAATTATTGCCTTTGCTAGCCAAGGAGCAAAGCTGTACATTTCCCCCATAATTATTTTATTTATTCACACAGTGTAGGATTTTAACTGATTATTAATAAATGTCAAGTAGCATCATTAAAATATTATTTAATTTGCTATTAGGTTTTTAAAACGTGGTTTCCCAAACACTATATGTTGAAGCATGAATGCCTGTTGTGTAGAGAACAGAGGTAAATATGCTTACTCCACACACACTTGAATTTTCAGAAGATGTGGTCACACAGAAAGAACAGGGTGGTCTAAGCGCATCTTCTGAAAACACAGATGTGTGTGGAGGTCACCGTATTACTTCTTTACACTTTTTGAAGTTTCTTATAAAGTTTTTTTTTTTTAAGTTTCTTGCAGAGTTTCTATTTTAAACTGGATTTTATTTATAGGAAAATGTTAGGGATTTGGTTTTTTGAAAAATCATTTTTAGTATTAACTTTTTTTTTTTTTGAGATGGAGTTTTGCTCTTGTTGCCCAGGCTAGAGTGCAATGGTACAATCTCCGCTCACCACAACTTCCATCTCCTGGGTTCAAGTGATTCTCCTGCCTCAGCCTCCCGAGTAGTTGGGATTACAGGCATGCGCCACCACACCTGACTAATTTTGTATTTTTAGTAGAGACTGGGTTTCTCCATGTTGGTGAGGCTGGTCTTGAACTCCTGACCTCAGGTGATCTGCCCACCTCAGCCTCCCAAAGTGCTGGAATTACAGGCGTAAGCACCCGGCTAGTGTTAACTTTTATACTACACTTACTGCCTATGCCCTTCTGGGCAGGGTCTCTGATTTGTTCTCTGTCAAATAATTTTGGAACTATGGTTATATTCTTTCTCACTAGGATTGCAAAATGGTTTGAAAATGTTCCACTGTTAAGAATCCAACATATGTTTGTGCTTTGGGGGTTGCAGGGTGTGTGGGTTTATTATTATGGATGTTTATTTTTAACAGTTAAGTTCTGCCTACTTTATACAACATTCCTTAATATTTTGGAAAGTCAGTATTGCTTTCTAGCTGTGTCTTTTAAGAGTGAGGGGTTTTGATAGATAGTTTGAGCATTAGACAAATTCTCTGCATTTTAGAAGTAAGGATAAAATCAGGAATTTTATTTTAAAATACCTTTTAGGGATTATACTAAAGTCCCTAGTTGAAAGATGTCCCTGGTACTGCAGTATTCAGTTTAGCAGTCTATGAGTTTTTAGATAGAAAAGTAGGCTAAGATATTTTCCGTAGTTTTAGAAAGTTTTAAGACAAAAATATTTTCTTTCTTTTTTTTTTTTTTTTGAGACCAAGTCTCACTCTGTTACCCAGGTTGGAGTGCAGTGGAGTGATCTCGGCTCACTGCAGCCTCCACCTCCCAGGTTCAAGTGATTCTTCTGCCTCAGCCTCCTGAGTAGCTGGGATTTACAGGCGCGCGCCACCGTGCCCAGCTGATTTTTGTATTTTAAGTAGAGGTGGGGTTTCACCGTATTGGCCAAGCTGGTCTCGAACTCCTGACCTCGTGATCCACCCACCTCAGCCTCCCAAAGTGCTGGGATTACAGGCTTCAGCCACTGCGCCCGGCCGACAAAAAGATTTTCTAACTGGAAAATTGAGTTGATTGGAATGTTTATAGTGTACAGGAGATATTGTAGATTTGTTATAGTCCTCAGACTGTTCTCATGCTGCCCATTGTGATAGATTTATATAATTAACTTCTTTGTGTGTTGCTTTGAGAAACAGCTTGTTATTAACATTCAGTTGGAATGAGCTACCATCAATTTAATTGCTTGAGAGAAAAGTATCAGTATCCCTGGTAAACTGGAGAAAGTTGAGGATTATTCTTTTTTCTTTTTTTTTTTTTTGAGATGGAGTCTCACTCTGTTGCTCATGCTGGAGTGCAGTGGCATGATCTCAGCTCACTACAACCTCCGCCTCCCGGGTTCAAGTGATTCTCGTGCCTCACCCTCCCGAGTAGCTGGGATTATAGGTGCCACCACCACACCCCGCTAATTTTTGTATTTTTAGTAGATATGGGGTTTTACCAGGTTGGTCAGGCTGGTCTCGAACTCCAGACCTCATGATCCACCCGTCTCGGCCTCCCCAAGTGCTGGGACTACAGGCGTGAGCCACCAAGCCTGGCCTTTTTTTTTTTTTCTTGAATGAATATTCAGGTGATCTGTTGAACAGTAACTGTCTTCTAGTAAATGAAGTGCCCAGTTTTGAGGGTCTCTTCTGGTTGATTGATGTAAATTCTGCCTATGTCTAGTTAGGTATTTGTGAGGGAAAGATGGAACAGAGGTGCATGTGTGTGTATGTATTTCTGTCTGGACAAAGACGGCATGTCTTTTTGGGTTGTTGGGTTTTTTTTAATAGATTGGCATAGGAAGTGCAAAAATATAACTAGTCTAAATCCAAGACACATGATACAGAGTTAAGCCAATTTGGATTGTTGAATGGATACTGCTGTCTTGTAACTATGGCGTTCAGATGTTTCTCATAAATGACTGCATAGTCAGCTGACCCAGTCAAGGGATTTCCAGAAGCTGAAAAGCAGTTAAATTATGTATCTGCTGCAGCTCTGGACACTGATTCAAGACTTTGGCTTCTGAAGACTGGCTAAGTGAGATTTGCCATGAAGTATGTAAAATAAAAAAACAAAACAAAGCAAAAAAGTCTGCCTAGTTTAACTAAAGACCTGGTTTTGCATCTCTCTGAACTGTAGCATTTTCTGAAACTTGAGAAAATACATTTGCTTGGCACAGCTGTTAACTTCCTACAACTGAAATGCTTTCCATTCCCTTTAAAATAAGCCCTTCTGAAGCAGAATGTAGATCACATGTATCATCCAGACCAAAAAAGTTTGCCTGGACTACTCCTGGGTCCGGAATCCTCACATTCCAGGCAGAACTCCAGCTGTTCCGATTTAGTTACCCACTTGGGATTGGCTGCGCCACCTACTCTTGTTTCCACCCCTTAACTTTCACTGGAAGAAAGCTCTAGACTGAAGATTAAATGTAAGCGCTGTCACCAGGCCTTCTGAGTGCAGCTGGCACCATGGGTGTGCTCCAGAGCAACTTCTGCTTGCTCCGAGCCCCCTGCCCTGCCTCCCCTTTCACCATGTTTCCTCTGACAAGATTTTAAGTACAGCAATTCAAGAAGATTTCTCCTCCTAAACGACATTGATCTGAAGTGTATTGCCTCTTGATTGCTGGAAAAGAATCTTAAACTCATTTCAAAAGTAACTTATAAACAAACTTATTAAAAGTGATGAAAGGAGCATTGAAATTAATTAGCACTAATTTTTCACTGTGCCAAAGTGTGCAGTGTCCTTCAGAGGAAACGATAGCAGATCTGGTGAGTGTGCCATGCCAGTGGGGAGAATTGAATGTCCCTCATCTCCCTCTTTCCCTAGGGACATTAGTCATGAGTGCCGAGTGTGCGGGGTCACAGAAGTGGGTCTTTCTGCATATGCAAAGCACATTTCTGGCCAGTTGCACAAAGATAACATTGATGCCCAGGAAAGAGAAGATGATGGAAAAGGAGAGGAAGAGGAAGAAGATTATTTTGACAAGGAACTCGTTCAGTTAATAAAACAAAGGAAAGAGCAAAGTCGGTAAGTAATTGATTTTTTAAAAAGCCTGTCTATAACAGAACACAGCAGAGAATACATTTTATATCTTTGTACTGTTCAGTCCATAGCCTTTAAACTTAGGTATAAAGTTTAGCTGGAGGTTGTTGTCTTATTAATCAAAGGGCAGTGAAATGCTTTCTTGAACTACTGTAATATCTTCTTAAAAAAGCAAACTCAGTATTGTTCCTACGTAAGCTGTAGCCACATATCTGAAATTTTTGCCATGTTGGTAACTATGTTGAGAATGGTTTTATTGGTATCCAAATCTTTTTTTTTTTTTTTTTTTTTTTTCTATCACCCACCCAGGCTGGACTGCAGTGGTGTGATCTTGGTTCACTGTAACCTCTGCCTCCTGGGTTCAAGCAATTCTCCTGCCTCAGCCTCCTGAGTAGCTGGGATTACAGATGCCCACCACCACGCCTGGCGAATTTTTTTTGTATTTTTAGTAGAGACGGGGTTTCACCCCATTAGCCAAGCTGGTCTCAAACTCCTGACCTCAAGCAATCTGCCTGCCTCAGCCTCCCAAAGTGCTGGGATTACAGGTGTGAGCCACCATACCTGGCCAGTATCCAAATCTTTTGAATACCAATAAGTTGTTATTTGGCGTTTAAATTTTCTAGTGGAAAGGTGTTAGAATATAAGCTTCATTGTATAAATTATATAGTACATAGTATAGTCTTATTACCAAAATAACATTTCTTAGGAAAATGTTTTTTGACTGGTGTGAATTAACGTGGTGCTTCTGCCAAATGTGATTTATCTTTTTGTCTTTGAATCCCCAGTGACTACCACAGTGCTTTATTGAGTAAATTTTTTTGATAGTGTCAAGATCATTTAAGCAATATAAATTTTCTAATTTGTACTGCTTAATTTCATACCTACATTTATACATTCAGATATTGGGCATTTACGTTTTCACCTTACTGTTTTCTGGTCTAAAGAGTTTAATTATAAAATTTGTTAAAAAGAGTTTAATTAATGAGGTAGAAATTTTCAGATGTGAGGGGAAGAGAGAGAAGCACTTATGAGGTGGGATAATTTTTTAAGTCCCAGAATATGAAGAGAATCATTTCAGATTCTAAAATAAAAATTTAAAGATTATTCTTGAATACTAGTTATACCTGGTCTGTACCTCCTTTTTAGTTAGAGGCTTGACTATAAAAAGGAAGTTGTTTTTACTCTGTGTGTTTAAAATTTTTTTGCCGGGAGGCACGGTGGCTCAGGCCTGTTGTCCTGGTGCACGAGGAGATGAGGCCAGGGCTACAAGACCAGCCTGGGCAACATAGGAAGCCCTTATCTATGTAACCAAAAAAAAAAGAAAATTTAAATTAAAAAAAAAAGTTTTTTGAACAAGTCCTTGAAGGAGACTTTCTTAGTCTTAAAATATCAATAAAGGGTGAGCATCCGTAATCCAAAATCTGAAAATGCACCAAAATCCAAAACATCTGAGTGCCAGCATGAGGCCACCAGTGGAAAATTCCACACCTCTTTTCATTTTACAAAATTATTTAAAATATTATCTAAAATTATCTTCAGACTGTGTATAAAAGGTATATATGAAACATAAATGAATTTTATGTTTAGACTGGGGTCGCATTCCCATAATATCCCATTATGTATATGCAAAAATATTCCAAAATCCAAAGCAATTTGAAATGTAAAACATTTCTGGTCCCAAGCATTTCAGATGAGGGACACTCAAACAACATGGTTCTTAAATCATTTAGTAGCTTAGTCCTTCAAATGACATTTTCATTACTTTTAATATAGTTGCAGTTTACTTTCTCCTACTTTAGGCAGTTGAAGCCTCTGGGAGACTAACTTCTATTTTGTTCTTACATACTAGTGCCATTTTTAGCTTTATCTGTGTAAATAATTAAACATTAAGACAGAATAGATTAGATATTCATATCATAGTTACTATTTTTTGAGTCTTTTGATATGCCTCCTTGGTGACCTATTTAAAGAAATAATCTACTTCTTTTTTTTTTTTTTTTGGAGACAGAGTGTTGGTCTGTCACCCAGGCTTGAGTGTAGTGGCACGATGACACCTCACTGCAGCCTCAACTTCCTAAGGCTCCAACAGTCCTCTCACCTCAGCTTCCCAAGAAGCTGGGGCTACAGGCATGCATTGCCACCATGCCTGGCTAATTTTTCTTTTAATTTTTATTTTTGGTAGAGATGGGGTTTAGGCATGTTACCCAGGCTGGCCTCAAACTTCTGGGCTCAAGTGATCCACCCGCCTTGGCCTCCCAAAGTGCTGAGATTACAGACATGAGCCACCACACCTGGCCAAAATCATCTACTTCTTCAGGAGTGTTTTTTTTCTTTTTTCCTTCATGATTTTTAACTCAGATTATTCTTTCTGGTCTGTGGGTTTAGCTGAATGCTCCTATCTTCTGAATCTAGCCATTTCATGAGATCTAGGAATTCTACTTCGTGAGTTATTTATCCCCCAATTCTCCCATTTCTGATCATATCAATATAGCTGTGTCAGTGGTCTCCTTGGATGTCAAAAGTTTTTACATAGAATCAAAACATAAAGGCAGTTTGGTTAATGGTTATAAAAAAAATTCTGCTACTGTATGTAGTAATACTTGTTACTTTCTAAACAGTCTCCTGTTTAGAAATGATTGTAATTTATATAACATTAGTTGATGTTTGAATTTCTAGATAGACTTTTAAATTCCATCTTGTGAAAAAGGAAGAAGTTCCAATTTGTGTCCAAAATATCGTAGACATTAAAACCCTTTAAAGCCAATTTAAGTCAGTACTGAGTTTAAGATTTTTAAGTCAAGGTCAGAGGAAGGAACTTAGATGTGGAAACTTTGTTTTGAGATGTCGATTCTATGAAGGCCTATGGTTAGGAGTATAGCCTCTGGTTGGAGTCAGACTGCCAAGGTTTAAATCTCTGCTCTGCTACTTTCTGACTGTCTTATTCTAGTCAAGTTAATGTAACCTCTCTACTGCTCAATTTCTCATCTGAAAAGTAGGAATAATAAGAATACTTGCCACGCCTATAATCCCAGTGCTTTGGGAGGCTGAGGCAGGCAGATCATGAGGTCAGGAGTTCAAGACCAGCCTGGCCAACATGGTGAAACCCCGTCTCTACTAAAAATATAAAAATTAGCCAGGCATGGTGGCGGACACCTGTAATCCCAGCTACTCAGGAGGCTGAGGCAGGAGAATCACTTGAACTCGAGAGGTGGAGGTTGCAGTGAGCCGAGATCATGCCATTGTACTCCCGCCTAGGTGACAAAGCAAGACTCCATCTCAAAAAAAAAAAAAAGAATACTTGCCTCAGGATTATAAAAACTAAAAGAGATAATCTATATATAAGGTGCTTGGCATTAAATGCCTGATACTTAGGTACTCAGTAAATTTTAACTAGCAGTATTCAGTATTTTGAGCACTTAGCACGTGATAAGCACCATGGCCATGCACACCATAGGCAGTTTGTAGAAGAAAATAGTATTTACACCTACTGCTGTGATGCTTACTGAAGTTTATTCATGTTTCTGTGGACTCCTCATCTAACATGAATACATGACACAGCTGTAGTTTCTTTATAAAAACCTCTAGCTCATGAAGCTCTTATAGCACATCTTATGGTTACTACTTGTTTGGGATATACTATTTTCCTCCTGTTTATGACCTTATTATCTCAGCTAGGTGCTAAGCCCTTCACAAACCGGAACTGTACATAAAAGTCTTCTTATACCACTAATGGTTATTGAATGGGTACTGGTCAAAGTGTTTATTAATAAAAATAACCATGCAAAGTATAATCTTATTTAAAATAGGTTAAGAAATGGGAGTTTTTCAGAAAGAACCTACAACTGGAAAAATCATGGTATTAAGGGCAGCTGAATATAAAATTGTATTAAATATGATAACTAGGCCAGGCACAGTGGCTCATGCCTGTATGCCTGTAATCCCAGCACTTTGGGAGGCTGCGGTGGGTGAATTACCTGAGATCAGGAGTTTGAGACCAGCCTGGCCAACATAGTGAAACACCGTGTCTACCAAAAATACAAAAATTAGCCAGGCGTGGTGGTGCATGCCTGTAATCCCAGCTACTTGGGAGGCTGAGGCAGGAGAATTGCTTGAGCCTCAGAGACAAAGGTTGCAGTGAGCTGAGATTGTGCCACTGCACTCCAGCCTGGCCAACAGAGCAAGACTCTGTCTCAAAAAGAAAAAAAAAAAAAGATAACTATAGCTATAAAATATAATTGTTCTTATTCCAAAAAAACTGCATAATATAAAAATAATAATTGGATGATAGGGACAAAATCTCAGAACATGCCAAGAAAGGGAGGAGAATATAAATGTGTCAAATTTTTGTTTGCTTGTTTTTTTGAGATAGTCTCGCTCTGTTGCCCAGGCTGGAGTGCAATGGTGCGATCTCAGCTCACTGCAACCTCCGCCTCCTGGGTTCAAGTGATTCTCATTCCTCAGCCTTCTGAGTAGCTGGGGTTATAGGCATGCGGCACTACGCATGGCTAATTTTTGTATTTTTAGTAGAGATGGGGTTTCGCCATGTTGGCCATGTTGGTCTTGAACTCCTGACCTCAAGTGATCTGCCTGCCTCGGCCTCCCAAAGTGGCTGGAATTATAGATGTGAGCCACCACACCTGGCCAAATGTGCCAAATTTTTAATATTTCTGGGTGATAGGGGAGATAGTTGTAATTATTTGAAATTTAAATAATTTAAAATGTTTAATTTTTAAGTTAATAAGTTGAGGAGTATAAGTTTAAATACATCATTTAAAGATATGAAAACAGCCACTATTAGATATGAAACTAGACTCGGTTACATATTCTAAGTAACGGGAGGAAAGTACAAGGGAAGTTTGGAGGGTTATGCCTTTCAAGGTAGCATAGGAATTCCTTTAAATTACTAATGAAAAACTGTTTTTCTTCCAGACAAGATGAACCTTCCAATAGCAACCAAGAAATAAACTCTGATGACAGACGACCCCAATGGAGACGAGAAGACCGAATTCCTTACCAAGACAGAGAGAGTTACAGTCAGCCTGCATGGCATCATCGTGGACCTCCACAGCGGGATTGGAAATGGGAAAAAGATGGCTTTAATAATACTAGGAAAAACAGCTTTCCACATTCTTTGAGGAATGGTGGTGGGCCAAGAGGACGTTCCGGGTGGCATAAGGGTGTTGCAGGAGGCTCCTCAACTTGGTTTCACAACCATAGTAATTCTGGAGGTGGTTGGCTTTCAAATAGCGGAACGGTAGATTGGAATCATAATGGCACAGGAAGGAATTCCAGTTGGCTTTCTGAAGGAACAGGTGGCTTTTCCAGTTGGCATATGAACAACAGTAACGGAAACTGGAAATCCAGTGTACGTAGTACAAATAATTGGAATTACAGTGGCCCTGGAGACAAATTTCAACCAGGCAGAAACAGAAATTCTAACTGTCCAATGGAAGACATGACTATGCTATGGAACAAGAAATCTAGTAAGTCAAACAAATATAGTCAGGACAGATATAATTGGCAGCGGCAAGAAAATGACAAACTTGGTACAGTTGCCACATATAGAGGTCCTTCTGAAGGATTTACAAGTGATACATTTCCTTCAGAAGGCTTACTCGACTTCAATTTTGAGCAGCCGGAAAGCCAAACCACTAAACAAACAGACACTGCTACTTCCAAAGTTAGTGGAAAGAATGGCAGTGCGGCAAGGGAAAAGCCTCGTCGCTGGACGCCTTACCCTTCCCAGAAGACTCTGGATTTACAGTCAGGATTGAAAGACGTCACTGGTAACAAGTCAGAAATGATGGAGAAACCTCTCTTTGATTTTAGCTTGATAACTACACGAATACAGGAGCCCCAAACTGATGAAACACGTAATTCCCCAACACAGAAAACACAAAAAGAAATGCATACTGGATCTCTTAATCACAAGGCCTCTTCTGATCCTGCTGCTTCCTTCGAGGTGGTGAGACAGTGCTCCATTACAGAAAAACCTGAACAAGAGCATACCCCAAATAAAATGCCGTCATTGAAATCCCCACTCCTTCCATGTCCAGCCACTAAATCATTTCCTCAAAAGCAAGATCCAAAGAATACCTCAAAAAAGACCAAAACAATTTTTTTTTCCCCTGGAGAACACTCAGATCCCTCGAACAAGCCCTCTGCGGAAGATAACCATGGTCCTTACATATCCAAACTGCGTAGTTCATGTTCTCATGTTTTAAAAGGGAGTAAAAGTACATTTGGCTCTCAAAAGCAATCTGGTGACAATTTAAATGATACGTTACGAAAGGCCAAAGAGGTGCTACAGTGTCATGAGTCATTGCAAAATCCACTTCTTAGCACTTCTAAAAGGACCAGGAACTATGCAAAAGCAAGTAGAAATGTAGAAGAATCTGAAAAAGGGTCTTTGAAAATTGAGTTTCAAGTGCATGCACTAGAAGATGAAAGTGATGGGGAGACATCTGACACGGAAAAGCAGGGAACAAAAATTGGAACCCTAGGTTCTGCAACTACAGAATTGTTATCCGGCAGCACTCGTACTGCTGATGAGAAAGAGGACGATGACCGAATCCTGAAGACTTCTAGAGAACTGTCCACTTCCCCATGTAATCCCACAGTTCAGCAGAAAGAATCTGAATTACAAATGACATCTGCAGCCAGTCCACACCCTGGCTTATTGCTAGACTTGAAAACCTCTCTAGAAGATGCACAGGTTGATGACTCTATTAAATCTCATGTATCTTATGAAACAGAAGGCTTTGAGAGTACTAGCTTGGATGCAGAGCTTCAAAAAAGTGACATCAGTCAGCCCTCGGGCCCTCTCCTGCCTGAACTAAGTAAGCTTGGCTTTCCTGCCTCACTTCAGAGGGATCTAACCCGGCACATTAGTTTGAAGAGCAAAACTGGAGTGCACCTTCCTGAGCCAAACCTCAATAGTGCCCGCCGCATTCGCAATATTAGCGGTCACCGAAAGAGTGAGACAGAGAAGGAGTCTGGGCTCAAGCCAACCCTACGGCAGATTCTAAATGCATCTCGGAGAAATGTCAACTGGGAACAGGTCATTCAGCAAGTAACCAAGAAAAAGCAAGAGCTGGGCAAAGGCTTACCCAGGTGTGTGCTGCTTTTCGGTGTCTTTCTTTTTTTTTTCCCCCTCGTTTTCTTTTAAAGTAACCCTTTGACCCTGATCAAGAGAATTCTACGTGTTTCATTTAATTAAATGTTTGCCAACAGTATCTGTTGTAGATGTCTTGATTTAATATCAAATAGTGACTGATACTCTATGACAGATGGAATAAAGTATTTCCTAGCAGAGAGTGCAGGTTAAAATGGAAGCATACCTACTTGAGAAACAAGATGGTGACGTAAGAAAAAAGTCATCACTTTATAGGGGTAAAATCCATCACTTTATGGGGGTAGAAAACGACAGTACAAAAATGTAGAGCTATAGATCTGTGTCTTTGTCTAGATCTTAATTTTGGAATGCGTGCTGTAACTTTTAAATAGAACTGTTCTCATTACCTTTTACTTGGAACCCACGAATAGTTAGGTTTTCTGTATGTACTCTGGGCATTGTATTTATTACTACAACATGCTTTCTCTTGAGCACTTGTGTAATATTTTGGCTCTTCATCTTATGTTGAGGTACTAGACTTTTCTGAATGGTAAAACAGTGTTCAACATAGGTTTGCTACTTGAAAGTCATAACTCTGCTGCACGATGATACAGTTCTGCAGGCTTCAGGGGCACTTCTGTACTTGTTAAAATAATGGATTTATTTTCCCCCACTTTCTTTTTCCCATACCCTGTGAGTAGCACTTGAAATTATCAGTATATAGCACCCGTAAATGCTCAATAAAAGGTTTTTTTTTTCTTTTGGTTTGGTTTGTTTGCTTTTAAAAATTACATGCTGTATGTATTATTATAGATTTAGAGCTCCATATGAAATAAAACTCAATTTTTACTCCCTCAAATATATTATTGTAGCTGTATACAAACCTCTAATCTGGTACTTGTCACAACATAACATATTTATATCTGTATCACTTACTAGACTGTGAGCTCCTTGAAGACAAGAACTACCTTACTTTTTATAACCTCAGTGCTTGAGAGAAGCTGGCACATTAAAAAATAATGCCTCTCCCAACAACCATATCCAATTTATGTTTTCATTTTTTCTTTCTTCCTTAAGGTTTGGCATAGAAATGGTACCGCTTGTTCAAAATGAACAAGAAGCCTTAGATTTGGACGGGGAACCTGATCTGTCCAGTCTAGAAGGATTCCAGTGGGAAGGCGTTTCCATTTCCTCATCCCCTGGCTTGGCAAGAAAGCGAAGCCTTTCTGAGAGCAGCGTGATCATGGACAGAGCTCCTTCTGTGTATAGCTTCTTCAGTGAGGAAGGTACAGGCAAAGAAAATGAGCCCCAGCAGATGGTTTCACCTAGTAACTCACTGAGGGCTGGACAGAGTCAGAACGCAACCGTGCACCTCAAACAAGAAGTGACACCTCTGGCTGCCTCCCTCCGAACAGGTGAAAGGGCTGAAAATGTTGCTACCCGAAGGCGACATAGTGCACAATTACCTTCTGATGATATAATACCTTTGATGCATTCGGCAAAAGACTTGAACAGCCAGGAGAGGTCTATGCCACCTTCAGAGAGTCAGAATTCCCAAGAGAGTAACGGAGAAGGAAACTCTCTGTCATCAAATGCATCCTCAGCCCTTGCGATCTCCAGTTTAGCGGATGCAGCCACAGATAGTAGCTGTACCTCTGGTGCTGAACAAAATGATGGCCAAAGTATTAGGAAGAAACGAAGAGCCACTGGAGTGAGTATAATTCCCTCTGCTTTTTGTAGAACATTGCATGTGGCAAGTTGGTTGCTTATTAAAAAAGCTTCAACTGTTTTTCTTGGGTGTCTGGGATTGTGATTCTCTCAACTTCTAGAAGAATTGTGAGGTTCTTACTTTCATTCTACTGGTTTCTTACACTGAGTAATTCTGCTAAATTAAATGTAATCTAATATGAATGTACAGTACTAGGAAAATATGAAGTCATATCTAAAACCAGTGTCCAAGCCAATGATTCTTTGTGTCACCTGACCAAGGATCAGTCACATCTTCAACTGTAACTCAATCTGTTTTCATAGATGCATTCTGCACTGCTGCTGAAGAAAGGCATTCTGCTGTTGTAGAGCATGGATGATTGCTGGATTCAGGAGTGCTAGGCTTAACACTAAGATGGTTTTAATACTATTAGAGTGCGTATATATGAACAGAGTGTAGAAATATTTTTAGTCTGTGTAACTCTGTCCTTCATCCTTCAGTTACCCAGCCTGGCCTTTAAGAATCTTTTATTTCACTGATAGCACTTCTGCTCTTCTGGCAATTCTGCTGGTAATACTGCTTAACCCTCTCAGTATCCCTTTCTGGAAAGAAAGAGGTGCTGGTAGTGAGATAGTCTGGGATCTGGCGATGTGAAAAAAAATGGGTTCTTCTCTTCATTATTTGTTTATTTTATAATATTTTAAAATTTATATTAGAGACGAGGTCTCACAATGTAGTCCAGACAGCTCTGGAACTCCTGGACTCAAGCAGTCCTCCTGCCTCAGCCTCCCAAGTATTGGGAACTACAATCATGTATCACTGTGCTGGGCTTCTCTCAGTTACTACTGAGGTGATAAACATAGTAGTTAAGGTCATGAATTCTAGGCTTGCTTCAAATTGCAATTCTGCTCCTTTGAGCTAGATGCTATATGTAGTGGATGTTATTGGATGACTTAAAATACACTTCAAGCTGAGGAACTGTCCTATGACAAAGAGCTTGTCTCGTGGACTGTTAAGCTTTTTGTTGTAAAGGTTTTCTTGCTGAAATTTAAAGTAGAAACTATGCCAAGTTATAAATGTATATATTTATATATATAACTGGCTTTGTCAATACTTCTACTTGTGCCTTACTACACCAAGATAGAATGCTTTGTCTGACCTCCATGGACTTTCCTACCTCTAGGATGCTAGAAGGCACTTCACCCTGGATTCTTTCTTTTCTTTCTTTCTTTTTGAATCAGATATGTTTATTCAACTAAAATTTGAGTTTGTACTATGTGCGTGAGACTCCTATGATCATGTTAGAGATGGTAGCAATAGTGAAGAACAGCGTACGGCTATCTTGGAATTGATTCCTTTTGCTCCTCTTGGATAATGGCTTTTACACATTGGATTTTATGCAGTTTTCTTTATCGCTCCAGGATGGATCTTCTCCTGAACTCCCAAGTCTTGAGAGAAAAAATAAAAGAAGGAAAATTAAAGGAAAAAAAGGTATGGTGCAGAATATTTTGGGAGAAAGAAGTTGGTGTTTTTTGTTTCGTTTTTTGGGTTTTTTTGGTAACCTCCCAACTCTTGGGCTCAAGCAATCCTCTTCTCTCAGCCTCCCGAGTAGATAGGACTACTGGTGTGTGATAACACACTAATTCTTTTTATTTTTTTGTAGAGACAGGGTCTAGCTATATTGCCCAGGCTGCACTCAAACTCTCGGGCTCCAGTGATCCTCTCACCTTGGCCTCCCAAAGTGTTGGGATTACAGGTGTAAGCCACTGTGTCCAGCCCCAAGAGGTTCTTCTAACAGTTCAGTGTTTGTACAACTTGACACAGAGCATAGCTTGTCATTTATCAAACACTGATTGTCCATTGACTTTTTTTTGGACATTTTTGTTGCCTTGCTTAAGAGGAAAGAAATGTTTGATTTCCTAATACATCCAGTTACAACTGTAGAAGAAATATATGATGTCACGTAGACTTGTAAGCCAAGGTTAGTATATCACTGGGACAATATAAAGCCAGAAAGTTTCCTTAAGCCTTTTCAGTGGGATAAAACATGTTGGCCCTCTTGGTCATGTGTAGCCATTTCTCTCACTTTCTGTTTTTGAGGCATCTTGGTTGCTTCCCCCCTGCCCTACCTCTACACTCCCTTCCTTGGTTGTTTTTCTAAAGTGAATTATGGAAAGAAGTTATTAACATTGCTCCCTCATTGATATATTTCTGTGATTCCTGCTTTTCCTTGACTCTAACCCAGTTCTAGTATAAGGGCTAGTCCCAGAAGTGATTGGATGAGGCTTGAGTGAGTGGATGTGATGGATAAGGGAGGAGTCAAGGACAACCCACATTTCTGGCTGGACCAACCAGATGGATGATATGTAGAGCTGGAAAGCTCCATGAGAGGAGCAGATTGAGAATAGAGAAAAGTGATGAATTCCCTCAGGGATTCTTTGACTTAAAGGACCTTTGAGATAACCTAGCCAGAAATATCATAGTCAGTAGTTGGATATGTGGGTGTGGAGCTTAAGGGAGAGGTCCTGGCATATTCAGTAGCAAACAGACAAGCCCAATGATGGTAAATACATACACAGAACATTTTATTCAAAGTAAGTTAAGTGCACTATTTCACAGCTGTATTTTCTTCAGGAAGTGTTCTCTAATAAAAACAATTTTTAAGTCAACTGACAGACTAAATATGGATTGGAAAGAGAGTGCAAGCAGTCTAGGTCCAGAGTCCAATCTAAGCAAAAGTCCTTTGTGAAGACAGTGGTAGATAAAGGAAGAATGGGAAACGAGACCTAGAACAGATGGTTTGCATGGGACAGATTTCACCTAGAAAGGCAGTGGTGGAAGGTGGTGTTCAGATGAGACAGAATGATGTGGTGGACCCTGGAGCTTATGAGACTCCTCCATCTTAGCAGGTGTCACTTTTGGTTCCTAGCTTTGAATCAAATATCATTGTGCTTGACTAAATGTTTTGTGAATTTCCAGTGACCTATTGAGGAGAACATAAAGGCTTATTCCGGATAATGGGAATAGTTCAATCTTGTGAGGAGCTGTGTGATGAGACGGAAATCTCCTAGTATTAACCTGAACCTTATGGTTTCTTTTGGCAGAACGTTCTCAGGTTGACCAGCTGCTGAATATTTCTTTAAGGGAGGAAGAACTTAGTAAGTCATTGCAGTGCATGGATAACAATCTTCTGCAAGCCCGTGCAGCCCTTCAGACAGCTTATGTGGAAGTTCAGAGGCTACTTATGCTCAAGCAGCAGGTAACGGCATGTGGAGGATTTAATAAAAATGGATCATCTCTGAAATCATGTTTTGTCCTGCCAAACCCACGGCTGGAGTCACTCCAAAAGCAGTGACAGGGGAGTTTCCACAAGGGAAGTGCCCAGACTTTGCCTAATGGGGGACAGTTAGGATTCCAAAGAAAGAAGCACGAAATGCCGGGGTGATGAGTCCAAAGCATTTATTAGCAGAGCTGACTTACAGAGTAGGCTGCAGCAGTCCCGACAAGGGACAGCAAGGAAGGAGTGTTCTCCCTAGGTACATCCACAGCCAGCGGGCGGGATGTGGAGTTTATATGAGGGTTGAAGGAATTCGGCTCCGGGCCAGGGCCAATTTCTTTCAGTGTTTCGGGCAACAACCTAGATACTTTTATCAGTGCCTGGGATTCTTCAAGGCCCCAGGTGGGGTTCAAGCCTACTGGGGAAAACCTGCAGCTGGCTGGGTCATAGAGCGGTCAAAACACTGATTTTTGGTCAGGATATAGAAGAAAAGTGGGGAGACCTAGAGGACCCTACAAGTTGGATTTCAAAATGCTTAATAAAATACTTTATTTTTAGATAACTATGGAGATGAGTGCACTGAGGACCCATAGAATACAGATTCTACAGGGATTACAAGGTATTCAGAGAGCATCTGATGGATAGCTTGTTACTTTTTTGTTCTGTTTTTTTTGTTTGTTTGTTCGTTTTTGGTTTTTTAGACAGAGTCTTGCTCTATCCCCCAGGCTGAAGTGCAGTGATGCAATCTCTGCTCACTGCAACCTCTGCCTCCCAGGTTCAAGTGATTCTCGTGCCTCAGCAGTTGATTAGCTGGAATTACAGGTGCCCGCCCAACCCCCAGCTAATTTTTGTATCTTTAGTAGAGACAGGGTTTCACCATGTTGGCCAGACTGCTCTCAAATTCCTGACCTCAGGTGATCCGCCTGCCTCAGCCTCCCAAAGTACTGGGATTACAGGCGTGAGCCACTGCACCAGGCCTTTTTGTTCTCTTTGAGGGAAATGAAAAGTAGTCATGAAAAGATCATGTTATTTCTCTCCTGTCTCCTTGGTTTCATCCTTTTTTGTTTTCTTGAGACAGAGCCTTGCTCTGTCACTCAGGCTGGAGCACAGTGACATGATCACGGCTCATTGCAGCCTCGACCTCCTGGGCTCTAGCGATCTTCCCACCTCACTCCCCCCAGTAGCTGGGACTACAGATGTGTGTCACCATGCCTGGTTATTAAAATTTTTAACTTTTAATTTTATAAAGTTATAATTTAAAATCGTAAAAATTTAAAGGTTATAAAAATTATAAAAAGTTATATAAAATTATAAAAAGTTATAAAAATTTTAAAAATGTTTTTATAGAGATGGGATCTCCCAGTGTTTCCCAGGATAGTCCCAAACTCCTGGGCTCAAGCAATCCTCCTAACTTGACCTCCCAAATGGTTAGGATTACAGGCCTGAGCCACCACGCCTGGCCAGTTTCATCCTTCTATAGAAAGGTCTGTAGATGGTGCATCCCAAAAATGTTTAGCAACAGACAATATGTTTTGGAAAAAGTTTTGATTAGGAATCAAGAGGCCTGGATTCAAATCTTCGCTCTTCCATTAGTAACCTATATAACTTTGGATAAGTCATTTAAGATTTGAAAAATTGGAATGTAGCCAGGCACAGTGACTCATGCCTATAATCCCAGCACTTTGGGAATCTGAGGCAGGTGGATTCCTTGAGCCCAGGAGTTTGAGACCAGCCCAGGCAACATGGTGAAACCCTGTCTCTAGAAATAAATACAAAAATTATTAATAATTATTAATAATAATAATTCCAGCCTGACCAACATGGTGAAACCCCATCCCTACTAAAAATACAAAAATTAGCTGGGCATGGTGGCATGCGCCGGTAATCCCAGCTACTCAAGACGCTGAGGCAGGAGAATCGCTCGAACAGTGAGCCGAGATTGCGCCACTGCACTCCAGCCTGGGTGACAGAGTGAGACTCTGTCTCGAAAAAATAATAACAATAATAACTGGGCATAGTGGCATGTGCCTATAATCCCAGCTGCTTGGGAGGCTGAGGCAGGAGGATTGCTTAAGTCCATGCACTGCAGCCTGGGTGACAAAGCGAGACCCTATCTAAAAAAAAAGAATGTTGATGCCTATTCTGTCTGTATCCTTGGTGGTTGTAGAGATTATATTCTCTATATTTCAGAGAATTATGACGGACTATACTAATATACTTACTAACTTAAAATTCTTTTCTAATGTTTAAATATACAAATTAGCTTAGAAACAAATGACTTTTCAGATAACATTTTTGCATTTCTGTGTATGTCTGTTTCCCATTCTAGAAACATACGAACCTTCTGAGCACCCAGACCAGGTTCCCTGTAGCCTCACACGAGAACGAAGGAACAGTAGATCTCAAACATCTGTTGATGCCGCACTGCTGCCCACTCCCTTTTTCCCACTTTTTCTGGAGCCTCCATCTTCCCATGTGTCTCCATCACCCACCGGAGCCTCTCTTCAAATAACCACATCTCCTACTTTCCAAACCCATGGCAGTGTCCCTGCTCCAGACTCATCCGTTCAGATTAAACAAGAGCCCATGTCTCCTGAACAAGATGAGACTGTGAATGCTGTGCCACCAAGCTCTGCCTGCAATGTGTCCAACGAACTACTGGAAGCTAATAGTATGTAAGCTTTTCTTTGGGTTAAGGGCATCCCAATAGTGGGACTGGGGCATTTTTATATGAGTGATATAAGCCATACTTGCTCATTAAAACTAAAATGAGCAAATACAACTAATTTTTCACTGAAATTCTCTTCATATATACAGGAAGATTCTTTTAAAATATTTTAGAGAATGTAATTTAAATATCAGTCATTTTCTATCATTTCCTATAATCTAGGGTTAGAGTTGACTTTGTATTAACACCCACAAGGTTCCATTTATTAGGATAAGTATAAAATTTGTTTTGTGTGAAATAAATGAGGTTGAAGTTAATTCAACCAATTTTCTAAATAAGGTCTATCCTCTGAATTTCTTTGCACTTAACTGTCTATATAATCTCAAATACAAACCAGGATTAATATAAGCTCGAGAGGCAGGTGGCCATGATGGGGTTTGGAATCATCTACTAAGAAGTTTGTGTTGAGAAATAGCCAGGGTTTTCACTCTTTTCAAAAAATAACACTTACCTGGTTATCATTTGAGAATATATCTAAGCTATGTAAAATCCTGTTAGAAGTTTGCATTACCACAGTGGTGCTGTATTTGAAAATTAAGTCCAACAAACTGGCATCGTGTGGTTTCCTAAGCAAAAGCAAAAAGTCTAAAAAATTACTCTAGATTTTACTACCAGTACTGTGTTGCAATATTAATCTAGATGTTAGTATCAAATGTATAGCTTATTTGTTTATTGAGACAGAGTCTCACTCTGTCACTAGGCTGGAGTGCGGTGGCACAATCACAGCTCACCACAGGCTTGACCTCCTGGGCTCAGATGATCCTCCCACCTCAGCCTCCGGAGTAGCTAGGACTACAGACGCCTGCCACCATGTCCGGCTCGTTTTTGTTTTTTTTTTTTTTTTTTTGTAGAGATGGGGATTCACCATGTTACCCAGGCTGGTCTGGATCTCCTGGGCTCAAGTGATCCACCCACCTTGGCCTCCCAAAGTGCTTGGATTATAGATGTGAGCCACTGTGCCTGGCTTAGCATATATATATATGCGCAACTTTTTTTTTTTAAGGCAGAGTTTCGCTTTTTGTTGTCCAGGCTGGTGTTCAGTGGCGTGCTCTTGGCTCACTGCAACGTCTACCTTCCAGGTTCAAGTGATTGTCTTGTCTCAGGCTCCCGAATAGCTGGGATTTCAGGTGCCCACCACTCATGCCCAGCTAATTTGTGTATTTTTAATAGAGACAGGGTTTCACCATGTTGGCCAAGCTGGTCTTGAACTCCTGACCTCGAGTGATCCGCCCTCCTCAGCCTCCCAAAATGCTGGGATTACAGACGTAAGCCACCGTGCCCAGTCCCTAGCATATTTTTAAAAATTATTTTAAATTTTTGTAGGTACATAATAGGTGTATATATTTATGGATTACATGAAATATTTTGGTACTATTTTTCATATTACATATTATTTCAGTCTTTCTTAAATCATGTTTTTGTGTTTACATGTAGAACTTATACAAAGGAGCAATCATATATAACCTGACTTTTTCCATTTAATATATCATGATTTTTCTGTCGTAAAAATAATTTATCTAAAATATTTTATATTACAAGTTGCATAATATTTGAATAGTTGCATAATTTGAATATACAATAATTTAAGTGGTGAATCTTTTTTGAATATTTAGTTTTCTGACTTCATATTCTGTATAACACTGCATTGTATATGTCTTTGAGTACGTCTGTGATTATTTCATCACTTTTAACTCCTAGACATGAAGTAATTAAGTCAAAGGAAATTGACATTTCTAAGTCAGCAAATTTTTTAACTACTAGTGTGTAGCTACATAGGATGGGTGGGGATAATGAAAACTTCAGAGAAATAAAAGTAAAAGGACTTCAGCTAAGTAGACATTTAAGTGTCTGCTAAGAATAAAACACAATGTTAAATGTGTGGACATTTAAAACAAGAAAAAAGATTAATAGAAACAAGCCCTCCCCACAAGGAGCTTTTGTAGGGAATAAGACACACAGTGTCTGTGACATTCACGCAAGGCAGAGGGTAGTAAGTGCTGTCATAGGAGTGTATGTAGGTGATGGGAAACTGAGGGGTGAGATACCAGCTGAAGCACTCACGGTTTTGTGAACATCTCATTGAAATATTTGGTAGAGTTTCAGTCAGTGATAAATTGCAGCAAACACAAAAAAGGATGCAATAATTTTTTTCCTCTCAATTCAGGAGAGATCAGTGACAGTTGTCCAGTTTATCCAGTCATCACTGCTAGATTGTGCTTATCAGAGTCAACAGAAAGTTTCCATGAGCCTAGCCAAGAACTGAAGTTTTCTGTGGAGCAAAGAAATACCAGAAACAGAGAGAACTCTCCCTCTTCCCAATCAGCTGGTCTTTCTAGCATAAATAAAGAGGGGGAAGAGCCAACCAGAGGCAATAGTGGGTCTGAAGCCTGTACTAGTTCTTTTCTAAGATTGTCTTTTGCTTCAGAAACCCCTTTGGAAAAGGAACCCCACTCTCCAGCTGACCAGCCTGAACAACAGGCAGAATCCACTTTGACATCAGCTGAGACTAGGGGAAGCAAGAAAAAGAAGAAACTTCGGAAGAAGAAAAGTCTACGGGCTGCCCATGTTCCTGAGAATAGTGACACTGAACAGGATGTTTTGACTGTTAAACCCGTAAGGAAAGTAAAAGCTGGAAAGTTAATTAAAGGGGGGAAAGTAACAACCTCCACTTGGGAAGACAGCAGGACTGGTCGGGAGCAAGGGAGTGTCAGAGATGAGCCAGATAGTGACTCGTCTCTGGAAGTCCTAGAAATTCCTAATCCTCAGTTAGAAGTAGTAGCCATTGATTCTTCAGAATCAGGAGAAGAGAAACCAGACAGCCCATCTAAAAAGGATATTTGGAACTCTACAGAGCAAAACCTGCTAGAAACTTCTCGTTCTGGGTGTGATGAAGTTAGCTCGACCAGTGAAATTGGCACTCGCTATAAAGATGGCATCCCTGTAAGGTAAGAGTATTGTATTGGTCCAGTCAGAAGAACTTTCACCAACTTTATTTTTTTAAAATAGAATTTTAAATTATGAATCAGAGTTTATTTAAAAATCAAAATTTACGTGAATGCAGCAGGGATTGTGGACATGGAAAAATTAAAGCTCGGCAGTAGAGATTTTCTGCTTTCTCTTTTGACTGCATTATAAATATTCACTCCGCTTTTATTTCCCTTCCTTTAGAAATTTCAGATGGAAAAACTAATTTCTTATATCATTGCTACTTTGCCCATTGTTTAGAAAAATCCTTTGAGTCAGGAAATTTTTACTTTTGCTACCCGCCCTGTTCACACAGATGCTGAGAACACTTTTGCTATTATTTTGTAGTGTGGCAGAAACTCAGACTGTGATCTCTTCCATAAAAGGATCAAAGAATTCTTCAGGTATTTGCTGTTCAGTTTTATTTAAATTAACCACAGAATTAAAAGCCTTGTAAATATTAAAGCCAGAATTTAAACCTACTTAAATATATTTATAGAATAAGAGAATGGGGATGGGTTTATCACCAAGAGGATTGCCTTGATCAACAGTTCTGCTATTCTTACAACCTCAAATTCTGGTCTTTCAGATTCTTATTTTCATCTGTCTTATTGATTGATTGATTGATTGATTGATTGTAACGGAGTCTTGCTTTGTCACCTAGGCTGGAGTGCAGTGACATGATCTCTGCTCACTGCAACTTCCACCTCCCAGGTTCAAGCAATTCTCCTGCCTCAGCCTCCCAAATAGCTGGGACCACAGGTGCGTGCCATCATGCCTGGCAAATTTTTTTTTGTATTTTTAGTAGAGACAGAGTTTCATCATGTTGGCCAGGCTGGTCTCCAACTCCTGGCCTCAAGTGATCCTCACGCCTCAGCCTCCTAAAGTGCTGGGATTACAGGTGTAAGCCATCATGCCTGGCCCTTCTAATCTGTCTTATCCAACTCCCTTATCTGTTCAACTAATTAGTATTAAGGTTTCATTGACTCTAAGGATATTTGCTTTCAGAAGGAACTGCTTAAGGAATACTACCTTACTCAAAGAAATAACTTTTTGGAAGTGTGGGAGAGGTTGGGTACCTTCCAAGTATCACTCAAAGCTTTTATTTATTTATTTATTTGTTTGTTTCTTTGTTTGTTTGTTTTTGAGGCAGAGTCTCGCTCTGTCGCCCAGGCTGGAGTCCAGTGGTGTGATCTCGGCTAACTGCCCCTGGGTTCAAGTGATTCTCCTGCCTCAGACTCCTTAAGTAACTGGGACTACAGGCACACGCCACCATGCCCAGCTAATTTTTGTATTTTTAGTAGAGACAGGGTTTCACCATCTTGGCCAGGCTAGTCTCGAACTCCTGGCCTCAGGTGATTTGCCCACCTCAGCCTCCCAAAGTATTGGGATTACAGGTGTGAGCCACCACACCCAGCCCAAAAGCTCGTTATGTAATTATCTATCTTTTTCCTAAGTGAAAGGCCTTTGCTTATTATGCAGTCTTCATAGTGAAGATGTGTAATCAGAATTGGAGTAGTCTGATAGGGGAACTAAGCTTTAAGGGGATCTACTTTTGGCTTAATCTAGGGACTGCTGTATTGTATAATAGTTCTGATTTTTGAGGGTCTTTTCAGACTAGCAGACATGTCTCTGGAACCTACTCTTGTTTTCCAGAAATATCTTCAGAGCCAGGAGATGATGATGAGCCCACAGAAGGAAGCTTTGAGGGGCACCAAGCTGCTGTAAATGCAATTCAGATATTTGGGAACTTACTATATACCTGTTCAGCAGATAAAACTGTCCGGGTTTATAATCTGGTGGTAAGTTGATAGAACATGTAGTATGTTTTTGGTTGCAGGTTTTGGAAAATCCAGTTTATACTCTTTTAAACAATAAAGGGAATTTGTTGGCTGTCTGGAGGAAGGGGTGGGCCTTAAATTGACTTTAGATGCATTTGATCCAGTAGCTCCACAAGGTCATTGGGGACTTAATTTCTTTTTGTCTCTCTACTCTGCCTTCTCTGGTATTACCTGTTTCTGAAAGCTAGTTCCCCTCCTGATCACAAGGTAAATGTCAGGAGCCGCTGGGGTCTCTTTTTCCCTCCCACCAGCACAAAAGGGTCCTGTGTTTTATTCCCTGAACGATCACTTTTGCCTGTGGCAAAAGGGGGTTGGGATTACACCAGTGGTCTTGGACTGTTCAGGTCCCAACACTGGAGTTGGTAATGGGGTCACTTGCGTAGCAGCTACATAATGGAGGAAGGATGAAGTGAATATGGGGAAGTATTGGAGGAGATATTTTCCCTGACAAGTGATTGATTACAGAGTTCGAGTTATTAAGGAGAGCAACACTTTTCCACTACCTCACACTTAGTATTATCTGATGCTTGTTACTGTCAAAAGAATGAACTTTTGAGTTTTGAATTTGAATTTGTTCATAAACTAATTATGAACAATGACAGCTTAAGAAATTTGAGGAACATGATGTTGTCTGAATGAACACCATGAAAATATTTAACATTGCTAGAGTCAGTGAAAATTAAAAAGTTAGATGATGGACCAGGAAAATGTGTTTGCTATAGGCAACAGGTATGTAGATTCCTTTAGCTTAATGATATGAGGATGAACACGAATGACTGAAAAAAGGAAGCAATGCTACCAGGATGTATAGGTGTAAGATCTAGGGGAACAGGATATCAAAATATGTATGTGTATGTATACATGTACATTCTAAATAGATCTCAGTATGTGCACTGAGATAACATTTGGAATGTACCCTTAAGAAACAACACCAGAGGCCGGGTACAGTGGCTCATGCCTGTAATCCCAGCACTTTGGGAGGCCGAGGCGGATGGATCACGAGGTCGGGAGATCGAGACCATCCTGGCTAACATGATGAAACCCCGTCTCTACTAAAAATACAAAAAACTAGCCAGGCGTGGTGGCGGGTGCCTGTAGTCCCAGCTACTCAGGAGCCTGAGGCAGGAGAATGGCGTGAATCTAAGAGACAGAGCTTGCAGTCAGCCGAGATCGCGCCACTGCACTCCAGCCTGGGTGACAGAGCGAGACTCCATCTCAAAAAAAAAAAAAAAAAAAGAGAAACACCACCAGAACCACTAGACCTGTGATAGCACCTGATATGTTTTTAAATACCATGGTGCATTCTCACAAGCTGCTTATCAAATGCACATCTTTTGTGGGTAATTAGCTACAGTTTGGATTTGCTAGGTCCTTGGTCCATGTCAGAAAGCTTTGCCCTAAACATTAATTAAAATTCTGGCTATCTTACAGTGAATTGTCATAAATATTTTTTGGTATGGCTCAACTAACATATACTTTCAGATACCTCATTGCCTATGACTGTGTGCTGGGCATTTGGTGAACATACATTTACTGAACATCTTTTGTGTACCAGGTGCTGTTTTAGACACTGAGGATACAGCAGTGAACTGAATGTTTTAGCATCTTTTTTTTTTTTTTGAGGAAATATATTATCTAATCCTTCTATATCTCATAAGTAATAATCTGGTCTGTGCTTAAACTTTAGAGTCGGAAATGTGTTGGTGTCTTTGAGGGCCATACCTCGAAAGTGAACTGCCTCCTGGTGACTCAGACCTCCGGGAAGAACGCTGCCCTTTACACCGGCTCCAGTGACCATACCGTCCGCTGCTATAATGTTAAGGTAGGTGGGTCCAGAGAAATCCAAAGTGGTTCATATTGAGTCGCTTTGTATTTACTGTGTGGAGTGGAGACACTGGCAGATGCTTCATTCTACCCACTGTCTCCTTTTCGCTTCTAAACGATGTTTAGCACATTGTTGTAGCTTTAGGTAGATATGAGACTTAGACATAAACTGTATTTTCTGTCTCCACCAGTATTTTTTCACTTCCTACTATTAATAATATACCTTCCTTGGTCTTTGCCACAAATGTTATGCATATCATATATCAAAATTAATCCTAGATAGAATAAAGAGAAAAATGTAGGCTGGGTGTGGTGGCGCACGCCTGTAGTCCCAGCACTTTGGGAGGCAGAGGTGGGCGGATTCACCTGAGGTTGGGAGTTCGAGACCAGCCTGACCAACATGGAGAAACCCCGTCTCTACTAAAAATACAAAATTAGCCGGGTGTGGTGGCGCATGCCTATAATCCCAGCTACTTGAGAGGCTGAGGCAGGAGAATCGCTTGAACCCAGGAGGCAGAGGTTGCAGTGAGCCGAGGTCACGCCACAGCACTCCAGCCTTGGCAACAAGAGTGAAACTCCATCTCAGAAAAAAAAAAAAAGAGCAAAATGTATAAATTTTTTAAATCTGAAGAATTAGAAATGGACATCTCCTCTGAGAGCTTTTTTAAACTTAAATGCACTGAAAGAAATAAGAAAATTATGTTTAAAATTATATACAGTATGTTCTTAATTTCTTTAAAAGATGGAGATACATGAAGCAGAATTTATAAGGCTATCATTAAGTTTGTAACATAGATGGAATATATGTGATAACAGGAACATAAAGAAGTGGGAGGGGATGGAGCTGAGCTAGAAGAAGGTTCTTATATTTTACTGGGAATAAGTACTAATTTGAACTAGATTGTTACAATTTTAAAAATGTAATCCCTAGAGGCACTGGCTTACAACTTTCGTGTGCATCACATTGACCTGGACAGCTTGTTAAAACACATATTACTGGTCCCCACTCCCAGAGGTGTTTTTTTGTTTGTTTTTTGTTTTTTTAAGAGACAGGGTCTCATCATGTTGCTTGGGCTGGTTTTGAGCTCCTGGAGTCAGGCAATCCTCCCACCTCGGCCTCCCAAAGTGCTGAGATTACAGGCACGAGCCACCACACGCAGCCCTTCCCAGAGCTTCTAATCCATTAGGCTTGGGGTCAAACTCACAAATTTACATTTCTAGGCCAGGTACTATGGTTCATATCTGTAATCCCAGCACTTTGGAAGACCAGAGCAGGAGGACTGCTTGAGGCCAGGAGCTCAAGACCAACCTGGGCAACATAGCAAGACCCTGTCTCTATAAAAAAATAAAAATGAACTGGATGTGGTGGCTCACACCTATAGTCCTAGCTGTTCCGGAGGCTGAGGTGGGAGGATCACTTGAGCCCAGGAGTTCAAGGTTATAGTGAGCTATGATTGTGTCACTTCACTACGGCCTGGGTGTCAGAACAAGAGCCTACCTCAAAAAAGCATAAAAATTAACCAAAATAAACAAAAAGAATTTACACTTCTAATAAGGTATTATGTGATATTGATGGAGATTGTTTGGGGACCACACTTTGAGAAATACTGCCCTAGAGTAATTACTAAACTAATAATGCAAAGAGGATCATGAGGTCAGGAGTTCAAGACCAGACTGGCCAACCTGGTGAAACCCCGTCTCTACTAAAAATACAAAAATTAGTCAGGCGTGGTGGTGCACACCTGTAATCCCAGCTACTCGGGAGGCTGAGGCTGGAGAATCACTTGAACTGGGAGACGGAGATTGCAGTGAGCCAGTATCATGCCACTGCACTCCAGCCTGGGTGCCAGAGTGAGACTCCTTCTCAAAAAAAAAAGAATAATGCAAAGAAATTGAGCTTAGAAAGTCAGTTGAGGGATTAAAATGGCAAGCTAAAAATATACTTAATACAAGAGAAGGTAGAAGGAGAAATAGAGGAATAAAAATGAGACAAATAGAAAGCAAATAGCAAATTGGAGACCTAAATTTACCCATATTTAATAATTATATTAAATGTGAGTGAACTGACACTAAAATCAAAAGGCAGAAATTGACTGGATACAGAAGTAACATCAAAATCTTTGTTGTCTACAAGAGACACACTTTTATTTTTGAGACACGGTCTTGGCCTGTCACCCTGGCTGGAGTGCAGTGGCGTGATTATAAGTCGCTGCAGCCCGGAACTCCTGGGCTCAAGTGATCCTCCTGCCTCAGCCTCTCGAGTAATTGAGATTACGGGCACACGTCACTATGGTTTGCTAATTAAATTTTATTTTTTTATTATTTTTTAGAAACAGGGTCTTGCTATGTTGCCTAGACTAGTCTGAAGCTCCTGGGCACAAGCAGTCCCCCTGCTTTGGTCTCCCACAGTGCTGGGATTACAGGCATGCACCACCATGCCCAGCCAAAGAGACTGCTTTAAATGTAAAGACAAAATGGGTTGAAAGTAAAAGAATAAGAATGGAAGAAGATACACTATCCAAATAGTAACAGAACTGGAGTGGTTATGTTAATACTGGGCAAGTAGACTTTAAAACAAGTGACTGAGCACTGTGGCTCATGCCTGCATCCCAATTTGGGAGGCTGAGGTGGGAAGATCGCTTGAGACCAGAAGTTCCAGACCAGTCTGGGTAACATAGTGAGATCCTGTCTCCACAAAAAATGAAAAAGTGAGGTAAGCATGGTTGTATGTACCTCTAGTCCTAGCTACTTGGGAGGTTGAGGTGAGAGGATCATTTGAGCTGAGGAATTTGAGGTTATAGTGAGCTATGACAATGCCACTGCACTCCAGCCTGGGTGACAGAGCAAGACACTGTCCCTTTAAATAGTGAAAAGGACAATACTACTGGAGAAAGGAGGACGTTCCATAATGATGAGTCAGCACAGCCAAACGATACAACAATTATAAGTACAGGTACCGAATAACAGAACTCTAAAATATATGAAACAGTAACTGATAGAACCGAAAGGAGAAATAGACAAATTCACAATTATAGTTGGGGACATCAACAACCCTTTCTCAATAATTGATAGACTACTAAATAAAAAACCGTCAAGGATATATAAGAACTCTACAACACCAGCTGGATGTGGTGGCTCATGCCTGTAATCCCAGCACTTCGGGAGGCTGAGGCGGGTGGATCACTTGAGGTCAGCAGTTCGAGACCAGACTAGCCAACATGGTGAAACCCTGTCTCTACTAAAAATACAAAAAAATTAGGCTGGATGTGGTGGCTTACGCCTGTAATTCCAGCACTTTGGGAGGCCAAGGTGGGCATATCACCTGAGGTCAGGAGTTTGAGACCAGCCTGACCAACATGTTGAAACCGCCTCATACAAAAATTAGCCAGGTGTGGTGCTCGTGCCTGTAGTCCCAGCTACTTGGGAGGCTGAGGCAGGAGAATTGCTTGAACCTATGACGCAGAGGTTGCAGTGAGCCAAGATTGTGCCACTGCACTCCAGCCTGGGCAACAGAATGAGACTCTGTCTCAAAAAATTAACAAACAAAAATAAGAATACAAAAAAATTAGCCGGGCCTGGTGGTAGTGCCTATAATCCCAGCTACTCAGGAGGCTGAGGCAGGAGAATCACTTGAACCTGGGAGGTGAAGGTTGCAGTGAGCTGAGATTGCGCCACTGTATTCCAGCCTGGGCAACAGAGAAAAACTTCATTTCAAAAAAAAAAAAAAAGAACTGTACAACACCATTAACAAATAAGATCCAATTAGCATTTATAGAACACTCCATTCAAAATTGCAGAATACACATTTTTTTCAAGAATGCGCACATAGACATTCACCAGGACCCTCATACTGGGCTACTAAATAAGTCTCAATCAATTTAAAAGCACCAAGATCATACAGAGTATGTTTTCTAACCACAGTGACATTTATTAGAAAGCAGTAACAGAAATCTTGGAAATCCCCAAATATAGGGAGATGAAAATAACATACTTCTAAATTATGGTGGTTCAGAGAAGGAATCACAAGGAAAATTAGAAAATATCTAACTAAATGAAAATGCAACATATCGTTTGTAGGATGCGGCTAAAGCATTGCTGAAAGGGAAATTTGTATTTTTAATTGCTTCTATTAGAAAAGAAGAAAGCTTTAAAATTCAAGAAACTACAAAAAGAGGCTGGGCACGGTGGCTCATGTCTGTAATCCCAGTGCCTTGGGAGGTTGCGGTAGGAGGATCATTTGAGGCCAGGAGTTCAAGCCTAGCTAGGCAACTTGTACAAACCTGTAAAAAATTATACAAACTTGTGAAAAAAAATTGTAAGCATATTTTGGCAAGAAATAGTCTTACATAAAAACGGGGGAAAAAGCTGTAACTTAAGATAGGACAAACATAGGTTTGGTATATGTTGTAAGGGGCTTACACCTTTAAATTCCTACAGCCAAGTGCTGTGATTCATGCCCATAATCCCAACACTTTAGGAGGCCAAGTCGGGAGGATCGCTTGAGCCCAGGAGTTCAAAACAGCCTAGGCAGCATGGCGAGACCGCATCTCTCCAAAAAATATTTTAAAATTAACTAGGCGTGCATGATGGCCCACGCCTGCAGTTCCAGCTACTCAGGAGGCTGAGGTGGGAGGATTCCTTGAGCCCCGGAGGTCAAGGCTGCAGTAAGCAGTAATCACGCCACTGCACTCTAGCCAGGAGACAGAGGGAGACCTTGTCTTTCAAAAAACAAATAAATAAATAAATCCCTAAACATACATTGACAAAAAACAAGCAAGTCTCTTAAGAAATACAAATAACTGAAAAAAATACAGTCTTGCAAATAAATGCAAATTAAAATCGAAGTACAAGGAATACCGTTTTTACTCATAATATTAGCAAAAAATTTTTTAAAAAGCTTTTCATTATTAAGGGTTCTAATGTGTAGTGTTTGGCATAGCAGGACTGTACACTAGTGAAAAAGATTTTGTAACCATTATTTGACATGGAGACATAACTTCATACAGTAAAGCACACAGATTTTAAGTATACAGCTTGCAGAAAAGCAGATATTTGTTTGTATAACTACCACAAAGATCAAAACATAGACCATTTCATAGCCCTGAAGCTTCCCTCAAATGCCTCCCTAGGCATAACCTTCTTCTAAAGCTAATCACTATTTTGACTACTGTCATGGATGACTTTTGTCTGTGCTTGGCTGTCATGTCAGTATAACTACACCACATGTATTCTTTAATGTCTAGCTTTAGCTCACCATGATGTTTGAAAATTCATCTGTATTGGTATATGTGCCAATAGTTTGTTCTTTTTTTATTACTATGTAATGTTCAATTTCCCCTGTAAAGTTAAAAAAATCTCATATGGATTAACCGGAAGCAACATGAATCTTAATATTTAGGCATATTCACTGTGTTTTGCTATATCTTACAATTTCATATATGGCACTTATGTTTGTAATTTTTTCAGGGGAGAAATTGAATAATTTAAGTGACTGACTCTTTTAGGTATGAAAGAAGGCTGGGAGAGGAGATCAACGGGTTTGACAACCCACAGCTTTTCTCATCCTATCCACAGCTTGTCCCACCCTACCCAATTATAACCATCTTGATTTTAACATCTAGTGCCAAGCCCACTTAAAAAGCTACACCTGGGTCTTTAGTAGCCTTCAGCAATAAAAGTTTTTGTTTGTTTGTTTGAGACAGAGTCTTGCTCTGTGGCCCAGGCTGGAGTGTGGTGGCGTGATCTCAGCTCACTGTAACCTCCACCTCCCGGGTTCAAGCGATTCTTCTGCCTCGATCTCCTGAGCAGCTGGGACTACAGGCGTGCACCACCATGCCTGGCTAATTTTTGGATTTTTAGTAGAGGCGGGATTTCACCATGTTAGCCAGGATGGTCTCGATCTCCTGACCTCATGATTCACCCGCCTCGGACTCCCAAAGTGTTGGGATTACAGGTGTGAGCCACCATGCCTGGCCTCAACAACAAACTTTGAATGTACTATTTCCTGGCCCAATTCTTGGTTCTAGGTAAAGAGATTTGCTAGTATAATCTAGTTGGAGGAAACTGATAGAAATCGTTTTTTGAAGGTCAGATCAAACAGTGGGTATTAAACCTGCATGTACATCTGAATTACTAGGGAAATTTTTTACAACACAGATTCTAGAGCCCACTGAATTAAGACTCTCAGGGATGGGGTTGGAGCTTGGGTTCTATATATTTTAAAAGCTTCTTGAGTAATTTAGCCCAGCTAACCCAGCACCAGTTTGAAGGAGGCATTTGGGAGCTATTGAAATAGAGAGTAAGTTGCAGAAAACCACATATTGATTAGTGCATTTATCAAATATGTAACTCTAATCCTGATTTTCCTCTTTAGATGTCAAAATACAGCTTTGTCTTTTATATTTGGCCTCTTAATTTAAGAGGCTAAGACCCAACTCATAGTGCCCTTTGAAAAATCTCTACCTTCTAAGTTAGAAGCATGGGTAACGTTACTAGAATTTATATTTATTTTCACATTACCTACAGCTTGGGAGTCTTTGGCCTCATATTTCAAAGGAGAAACAGATCTAAGATAGTCCCGTATAAAATAGAGGATGTCACATTTTCTTCCACGTAAAAGTCATTGTAAAGTCTGCTTCTGGAGGAACTGTTTTTGACATCTCATTTGCCAGTACCCTCTGCTGATTCAAGGTTGTGTACTTTTATCAGAGCCGAGAGTGTGTGGAGCAGTTACAGCTGGAAGACCGGGTCCTCTGCCTGCACAGTAGGTGGCGAATCCTCTATGCGGGACTGGCAAATGGCACTGTGGTCACCTTCAACATAAAGGTTAGTGGTTGGGGAGAAAAGGCTTGCTTCCCATGCTACTTGAAAATAGTGTGAGCCTGTGTGGGAAGAAGTAGCAGGCAGGGATTTTCCTGTTTTCTTCTGTGGGGAAGCAGCAGAATCAGCCGCTACTCAAACACAGTTATCTTCTGATGTAAGTGAAACAAGATCCTCCATTCTCTCTGTTTCTACTCAAATGTGCCAGGACCAAAATGTAACTCCACTAAATTAAACCAAGCCTGAAGATTTGGGGCCAAATAATGAGTCACGGATTAAACTAGTCTGTCTCAACTTAAGAATGACATCATAAAAAATGAACTTAAGTGCTCACTTCAACAGCACATACACTAAATTTGGAATGATACAGAGAAGATTAGCATGGCCCCTGCGCAAGGATGACACGCAAATTCATGAAGCATTCCATATTAAAAAATAAATGAAGGAAAAGGAACTTAAATTCCATTGAGTATGACATTGGTGTGGTTTGGCACTGGTTTAGGGTTTCATGAGGGCGGTCCATCTGTTGAGGTGAACTGAGAGGTTTGCTGTAATGCCCGAATGGCTTCATTCTTTCCTAACCCAGAGATAAATTCATTTGTTGACCTAGCCTTTATTGAGCATCTGTTATGTGCCAGGCCCCAGGATAAGGTTTAGTTTTTGATGGCCCTGTGTACTTTGATAAGGTAGTTGGACTTCATCTTACAGGCTTTAAAGTATGAGAAACATGATCCCATTATGTTTCAGGAAAAGTCACTGGAGTTGATAAGATTGGGAAAGATTGGTATTAGCGAAGGCAGGGAGACCATTTAGGAGGCTTTGTAGTGGAAGCTGACATGAAAAAGGTTAAACAGGATGAAGAGAAGGGAATGGAGGAAAGATATAATCTAAGAGGTAGAATTGATAGGTTTGATTGCTAATTAATTGTGGCACCATATCCCCTGGTCATCTTGTAACCATGTGTTAGAATGGTACTATTACAGTGTCATTCACAGGCTACATGCTAGCTGGAACTAACAGAAGATGTGCATTAAAATATGTCATGGTTTCTGCCTACAGGAAACTTAAAAATCAAGTTAGAAGAATCTAGTGTGTATATAATCAAGTGCCAAGTGATTTGGTCTATTTGATATGATACATCACAGAAGGGCAATTAGTGAAGATTTTTGCATTCTAGATGCAGACAAGTTCTAAGTCTGATTAAATTGGATTAGGGCAATAGAAATGTAGAGGAAAGTAAATTTAAAATATTTTAAGGGCTAAAATGTGATAATTACCTGATTATCTTCTCTTTTGTGAGATTATCAGAAGTAGACAGAAGTGGCTGGATATGGTGGCTTATGCATATAATCCCAGCACTTTGGGAGACTGAGGTAGGAGGATTGCTTGAGCCCAGAAGTTCGAGACCAGCCCGAGCAACAAAGCAAGACTCCTGTTTCTCAAAAAAAAAAAAAAAAAGATTTTTTAACTATTAAAAAAAAAAAAGCTAAGTATGGTGGCACACGCCTGTATTCCCAGCTACTCAGGAAGCTGAGGCAGGAGGATTGCTTGGGCCAGGACTTCAAGGCTGCAGTGAGCTATAATCACACCACTATACTCAAGCCTGGGTGACAGAGTGAGACCCTGTCTCTCTCTCTTTTTTTTTTAAGTAGTAGACAGAAGTAAGGAACAAGACAATCTTGAGGCTAAATGATGAGATGATGACAAGAAATTCAAATGGAGAAGTTCTTTGAAGGATTGAAAAGCCCTGGAGAAGATGGTCCTAGAGACAGACATTTGAGAATCTCTGCATAGATGCGAATTTTGAAAATGAGGGCTGGGCTTTTTCCTAGTTTGTCCATACTCTTAGAATGTAGTACTTCTGGAGTCACAACAGAAAACCAGGACTGTTTACCAGGGCCGGTCCACCTTTGGGTCCTGAGCTCCATTCAGTCTGTCTCCCTAGCACTTCAAGATGGCTGAAATCATTGCTCAGCAATATAGGCTCCCAGCCTTTATTGAGCCTATCTGAGCAATGATCAGCTGCTTAGTTTTTAGAAGCCTTATTCCAGGCATGCACCTAAAGAACTTTTGTGGAATTGGGAGGCTTAATGAACAGGGTTGGTTGGGGGATGAAGGAAAGAATTGTAAAATCTGAGATAAAAGAATGTTTTGGGATTCAGGATGTGACCCTGCCACTCTGGTATAATTAGGCTTCTATAGTCTACTAAATGATGACAGAGATGACATGGAGCCAGGTGCCAGAAGAACATCATAATAAGGAGAATTTAGGCCAGGCATGATGGCTCACGCCTGTAATCCCATCACTTTGGGAGGCTGAGGCGGGCGGATCACCTGAGGTTAGGAATTCAAGGTTAGGAATCCTGTCCAACATGGTGAAACCCTGTCTTTACAAAAATATAAAAGCTAGCCAGGTGTGATGGCAGGCACCTGTAATCCTAGCTACTGGGGAGGCTGAGGCAGGAGAATCGCTTGAACCCAGGAGGCGGAGGTTGCAGTGAGCTGAGCTGGTGCCACTGCACTCCAGCCTGGGCGACAGAGCGAGACTCTGTCTCAAAAAAAAAAAAAAGTGGAGAATTTGAGACTTACTGAAATTGCCTAGGAAGGTAATTCTAAGTAGAGATTTTTGGAAACAGCATGACACATAGATTGCCTAAATTTTGGATGACAGAAATAGTTCCTGGGTCTGTGTCAGGGAAAATGCACTAGAGTTTGGAAAAAAAAAAAAAAGTTCACCTTTCATTATTATTAACTCACAGGTGGTGAAAGAGAACCAGTTTCTAATTAGGATGGGGATGGTGTGGGTTGAAATTATAAATGAGTTTATAATGTAAGGGTTTGCCCTCCTCAGATCAGGGGATAGGGGAGGTTCAGCAAAGAGGGTTGGAGTGGGAAATAGCAGAGATGGATACATGAAGGCTGCAGAGTGGGTATGAAAATTTGAGTACAGGTGACAGAAATGAGAGTTTGTACCAAAGTAATGATTTTGGTTAATTGGTTTTGAAGTTTTCCAGCTAAGTTGTTTTTAGCTGTAATCTTGGCTTATTTTCCAGAACAACAAACGACTTGAGATCTTTGAATGCCATGGCCCCCGGGCAGTCAGCTGTCTTGCCACAGCTCAGGAAGGTGCCCGAAAACTGCTGGTCGTGGGCTCTTATGACTGCACCATTAGTGTACGCGACGCCCGGAATGGACTGCTCCTCAGAACTCTGGAGGGCCATAGCAAAACCATTCTTTGCATGAAGGCAAGTACAGTGCAAGAGAATAGGAGTTGTCTGGCACAAATAGAAGGGTTTTGAGGCCAGGCGGGGTGACTCTCGTCTGTAGTCCCAGCACTTTGGGAGGGCGAGGCAGGGAGATCGCTGGAGCTCAGAAGTTCGAGACCAGCCAGGGCAGCATGGCAAAACTCCATCTCTCCAAAAAAATACAAAAGTTAGTGGGATGTTGTGGTGTGCACCTGTACTACTCACGAGGCTGAGGTGGGAGGATCACTTGAGCACAGAAGATCGAGGCTGCAGTGAGCCATGATTGTGCCACTGTACTCCAGCACGGGCAACAGAGTGAGACCTTGACTCAAGCAAAGCAAAACAGAGAAGGGTTTTAAATGGCATTTCCCGTGTTGTCTCACACATCATTTAGAAACACCACCTCAGAAAGAGCGAGGAGATTGCAAACCTTTTCTTCACACCAGCATCACCAAGTGATGCACTTTCCTTTGAGAAGCAATGAGTGTATTTTGTTATAGAGTAGGTATACTCGAATGCCTTTCTAGGCTGCTTCATAGTCATTCTGGAAAGGTAACAAACCTAATAATACATTATCAGTTAATTAGCATGCTTGGTAGGGGGGCATAGGTTTCAGCTAAGAAAATTTGTCTGAGAAACTTTTATACCTAGTTCATCGTGCTCATCTCAAAATAGGATGGAAATTAGAATTTACCAATGTGTTTTACAAGTTGTAGAGAAAATTGAGAACCGTGTACAGAATCTGACATGTTGAATTTTTTTCTTTAAGGTGGTGAATGATCTCGTGTTCAGTGGCTCCAGTGATCAGTCAGTCCATGCCCACAACATTCATGTAAGCTATGTTGGTGTTGTGTAAAGAAACCTTGAATAAAATAATGGTTAAAGCTTGATGGTTTTCTTAAACTTCTTGCAATTTAAATTAAGCCCTTTATCCACCGAAGGGATTTGTCATCATCCCTATGCATGTGCTCTTGGATAATATTGTGTAACCTAGAAATTCTGCCTCATCAACGTTTTTAATGGTGGACAGACAGACTCAAAGTTTATGTAAGGTTTAGTTTGAATGCCCCATTTAAAATTGAAATAAATGGAACAGCTGAGGCTTTCAGAAAGTGGGTATGATATGTAGTTAAAATAGAACTAGTAAAAACATCTGAGAGCTGAGCCCAATGGCTGTCACCGGTAATGCCAGCTACTCAGAAGGCGGGAGGATCACTTGAGGCCAGGAGTTTGAGATTAGCCTAGGCAAAATAGTGGCCCTGTCTCTTAAAAAAATTTTTTTTAATAAGCTGGGCATGGCAGTGTGTCCTGTAATTCTAGCTACTCAGGAGGCCGAGGTGGGAGGATTGTTTGGGCCCAGGAGTTCAAGGCTGCAGTGAGGTATGATCGCACCACCGCACTCCAGCCTGGGTGACCAAGTGAGACCCCATTTCTTTTTCTTTTTATCTTTTTTTTTTTTTTTTTTGAGATGGGGATCTCACTTTGTCACCCAGGCTGGAGTGCAGTGGTGCGATCTTGACTCACTGCAGCCTCAACCTCCTAAGCTCAAGGGATCCTCCCACCTCAGCCCCCCAGGTAGCTGGGACTAAGGGTGTGAGCCTCCATGCCTGGCTAATTTTTTCATATTTTTTTGTAGAGATGGGGTCTTTTGCCCAGGCTGGTCTTGAACTCCTGAGCTCAAGTGATCTGCCCACCTCGGCCTCCCAAAGTGTTGGAATCATAGGCGTGAGCCACTGCACCCAGCCTGTGAGACCCTGTCTCTTAAAAAAATGAACAACAGAAATAGCTGAGAGAGTGTTCTCAGGTCATAGAGGCAGCTACGTTCCTGGTCTGTAACCTCAGAATAATAATTTGAAGCTCAGTTCCTGGTCTGTAACCTCAGAATAATAATTCCCAACTGATAGACTTGCGGTCTAGATCCAGTGAAATGAAAAAAGTAAAAGTACTTGGAAGGCTGTAAATACAGGTAGAGTTTTGGCCGCTTTCTTTCCATGACATTAGAGTCTTTCCATCAGGATACAATCCATATATTTTGTATATGTAATAAATGATTGTGGAATACTTCTGCTGTTAAAGTTAATACTATTAATACTATTTGTACAGTTAATGCTATTAATTGTATTAATTGTACGTGTACAGTATTCTCAGAATTATGCCTCTTAGAATTATAGAATTATAACCAGGAAGGAGTCTCGAAAGTCAGTCTGGTGACTCTTACTTCTCTTCTGACAGACTGGTGAGCTCGTGCGGATCTATAAAGGTCACAATCACGCAGTGACTGTGGTGAATATCCTAGGAAAAGTGATGGTGACTGCTTGCCTGGATAAATTTGTTCGTGTCTATGAATTACAGGTAGAATTTAGGTTGAGTATTTTGCTTGAATGATTTGGGGAGATTGTCTATTTGAGTTTAGTGTTGATTTTTGATACAGTAAGGTGGGATGGAACCCAGGAATCTGCATTTTCATGAGCTTTCTAGATAATTATAAAGAAGCTGGCCTGTGGACTACAACTTTCAGAAACTGCTCTGAGACACTTGATCTGGCTCATGGGTGTCAAAACTTAATTTCTAGTTCTAGTTAATTTATAGTTCTCCTTGTGTGCAATTTCAAGTTTGAAACTGTGATTCTAACAAAATTGATTTTATTACTTCTAATTACCAGCTCCCTCCTTGTATAGTAGAACGTAAAAGAAAAATTGTCATTAGATTATATTTCTGTTAGAATGCTACTAGTGCTTCCACTTAGCACCTCAGGTGTGGTTTTAAACCTGCCAAAGGCCTTTAGGGACTGTACTTATTAAACGCAAGGTATAAATAACTTTAATTCTTTCTTTTTTTTTTTCTTCTGCCTAAGTCTCATGATCGATTACAAGTTTATGGAGGACACAAAGACATGATTATGTGTATGACCATCCATAAAAGCATGGTAAGTGTTATTTGTCATGTCAGATATTTGCTTTTGAACGTGTTTGCTAAAAAATTCTTGTCACTTCCAAAAGTGACATCTGCTTCTGATATGCCTCATTGTTAATACCTTCCCATCTCTTGGCATAATAGGGAAGTAACCAGGGGACAGTGTTGAATATTCCATTGTCTATTAACAGCCAAAATTATTACAATAAAAATGGTAGTATCAACTACAGTTAAATAGAAGGTAAATTTAAGATGCTTCAAAAAACTGAGTGGTGCCTTTTCCAGAGACGTGATCTGAATAGAACACTGGAATGGAGTCAGGAGATTTGGCCAGTGTGGCATGGCTACAGCAGATCTAAAAGTAGAAACCAACTCACATAACCCTGCTAAGCCTTTTTTTTTTTTTACTTTTAAGTTATGGATGTTTTTCAGACTCTGAGTGGTAGAATCCTTTCTTTTCCAGTGAAATGCAGGTGCCTAACAGAGCACCCAATAGAAACCAGGGCTACCCCAGTTAAAGTAGAAAGGCCAAGTGGGTGCCTCTGAGGCCTGCCACTCCTCTCTGCCCTGGTCCCGAGTGGCTTTCTAAGGAGCACAGCTGCAAAATACCTAGACTGGAATTTCTGGAAACTACTTTCCCATTCTACTACTCTGGAGCTGGTTTTGATTTAGGTTTTTGTTTTCTTGTAGCTGCTTCAAGGAGCTTGTGACTTGTTTTAAGGGTGTTTTGTAGTTTGTATGTATTTTGGTCTGACACTATAAACCTGTCTTTCTCCAGATTTACACTGGCTGTTATGATGGCAGTATTCAGGCCGTGAGGCTTAATCTGATGCAGAATTACCGCTGTTGGGTAAGGAGTGAAACTCTTCTTGTCACTGGACTTGGAGAGGTTGCTTCACCCTAGACTAATTGATCTTCATTAGCATCAGTGTAGCATTTTATATTTTAGCATCTACTTTATGCCTTACACTGTAGATCACAGGCTGTCTCCTAGGTGGTGGTTTTGTTTATCATAAAATCAATACATGCTTAGAAAGCAACAGTACAGCAATATATGAAATAAAAAGTGGAAGTGCTTATTTTGGTAATGGTACTATCCCTTCTACTCCCGCTCATCAGAGATTACTAGTATTAACGGTTTGGTTTGTGTCCTCATTGGTTTTTGAGGAATAGGCAAAGAAAAACAGTTTAAGGTCTTGTAAGTTCCAAACCTTAGTTCATCAGGCTGAATTGTGTGATTTTTATTTTGGGGTGAGGGCTGATGATTAACCCTTAAAATTTTCACACTATTTCTTATAAGCCTTAATTTTTTTTTGTCAGTTCTAACAATGGTAGCTTTTCCCTAAAACCCTAAGATCCTTTTCAGCATTGATGGCATGAACTTGACACTCTCCATTTTAAAATTCGACTTTACACTTGTCCACAGCCTAGTGACTTTGCAGCTCTCTACACATTACTATCTTTGCTTTTTAATTTTCTCAGTGAAGGCAAGCAAAATCTAGTACAGTTCCTCTTAATCCAAGGGGGATATGGTCAATGTTTTTTTGATGTGGTAATCAAGAGGGCTAAGTGACTAACAGGCGGTAGCCAATATAGTGTAGATATGTTGGACAAAGGGACAATTCACAGTGTAGATATGTTGGACAAAGGGGTGAGATGCAGTGGGATGGCGGGAGATTTCATCACACTGCTCAGAATAGTGTGTAATTTAAAACTCAAGAATTGTTTATTTTGGAAATTTTCCAATTAATATTTTTGAAGATCAGTTAACCACAGGTAACTAAAACCTCAGAAAGTAAAACCATGGATAAGGAGGCACTACTGAACGACAGGGTGCAGAGTACACAAATAGAGTTAATCTATAGAGAGAAATGGGAAGGATACCTCTGACTTTATAGAGAGAAGGATGGAGTAGTACTCACAGAGGAGAAACTTAACTTTGCATTCCCCCCCGCTTTTTTTTTTTTTTTTTTTTTGGAGACAGAATCTTCTGTTGCCAAGCTGGAATGCAGTGGCATGATCTCAGCTCACTGCAACCTCCACCTCCGGAGTTCAAGCGATTCTCCTGCCTCAGCCTCCCAAGTAGCTGGGAACACAGGCGCCCGCCACCACACCCAGCTAATTTTTGTATTTTTAGTACAGACAGGATTTCACCATGTTGGCCAGGCTGGTCTTGAACTCGCGCCCAGCCTGTATTTTTTCTTTTTTTTTTTCTGTAGGGACAGGGTCTCACTGTGTTGCCCAGGCTGGTCTTGAACTCCTGGGCTGAAGTGAACCACTCTCCTCAGCCTCTCAAAGTGCCACCTCTCACTGAGCCACCACTTGGGAAGCATAAGACACTGGCTTGTGCTTTCTAATACATGAAATTAAGCTACATTTATAAGTAAAATTATAGCTTAAAAAAATAAGTAGGTAATCGTAAGATTGAGATTCAAGTGATAAAGGCTGTGAGTAAAGTCAGGCTTCCATGGCAAACACAGTATTCTGCAATAAATATTTCCACAAATGTAGTTTTCTTTATCAGACATTTTTATTTTCACATTTACATTCAGTAGTTCTTAGAATTGTTAAAAATAGCCCTTTCGGACCGGGCGTAGTGGCTCACGCCTATAATCCCAGCACTTTGGGAGGCCAAGGTGGGCAGATCACTTGAGGTTGGGAGTTTGAGACCAGCCTGACCAACATGGTGAAACCCTGTCTTTACTAAAACAAACAAACAAAAAAATACAAAATTAACTGGGTGTGGTGGTGCACACCTGTAATCCTAGCTACTTGGGAGGCTGAGGCAGGAGAACTGCTTGAACCTGGGGGGCAGAGGTTGCAGTGAGCTGAGATCGCGCCACCGCCCTCTAGCGTGGGCGACAAGAGTGAAACTGCATCTCAAGAAAAAAAAAAAAAAAGAAAAGCCCTTTTGGTACAATAGGAAAGGTATTTGTCTTTTGTGTTGAATAAACTAAGAAAGAAACTCAATTTTATGATGGCAACATAAAAAATACAGTTTCAACAGAATTTTATGGTAATTTATCCATAAATATTTGCTGACCTTTTTCTGATTTAAGAAGTTGTAATTGCTATGTTAGCGCTTTGCCCTCTCAAAATATCAAAATAGCAAAAGATTTTTCCAGTCTTTTCAAGGTTCCTCGTTATGCTGATATTTTGGTTGCCTTGGCTTTGTTGTCTTTTCTAGCCAAGAATAAATTTAAAATAAGGGGCTGGCTTTTTGCTTCCATAGTGCCTATGGGATCCAGGTGGGGGCTGTTCTGATTCACGTTCACTGCACCCTTTTTCACCGAGTCCCTTCATTTTCTTTCTCTCCAGTGGCATGGCTGCTCTCTGATATTCGGCGTTGTAGATCATTTAAAACAACACTTGCTGACCGACCACACTAATCCCAACTTCCAGACTCTGAAATGTCGCTGGAAGAACTGCGATGCTTTTTTCACTGCTAGGAAAGGATCCAAACAGGTACATTAGTGGGACTTGAGGTTCGCCTGGGATTCAGTAGACTGCTCAGAGCAGGGGCTAGAAAACCTTTTTTGTTTTATTATTGAGAATTGCCATATATAGGGAGGGCCTATGGTTTTTCTTTTTATGATTCAGAGATTTGGGGGGTAGCTTAATGAAGTTTCAAATGAAGAATTAGGTCATTTTTGAGAAAGGGCCTAGAGAACATTTTCAAATGTTTCAAATCCAGTAACTGAACCTGGAGATTTATTACAGTGCTCTTGTGCTGAGACAACAGCTCACCTTTAAGTACACGCTTTCATGTAAGTTAGCGAAGTGCTGGCTCCTGGCTGCCTTTCCCATCTGGATCCTAGGTGGAATGGACCCACGCGGCTTTCCTTGGCTTTGACTTTCTCCTGTCTTACTCTCAACTTCTCTCTCATGGGTCCTTTTCCCTTCATTCCTAGGATGCTGCAGGACATATTGAACGACACGCTGAAGATGACAGCAAAATTGATTCATGAAGTTGTTTGCCTCCCACGTTGGGAAGTCATTAGTTGAACTGTTTTCACATCAGCCCCCCACACAGGCCACTCTCTTCTCTTTCTTGGTGAAGCAAGGAAGGAGAAAGTGGTTACTAGCCAGGCCTCTAGCATAAGTCTGGGCAGCTCTATGGGATGATAGATTACTCTTTAAGTTCGTGCTGGAGGTTTTAAATAGATTTAGACAGATGTTAGGGAACCACACTCCTCTGGGACAGCATGGCATATAGTGATTTATGCTACTTGCGTTCTCCAGGTGTTTATTAAAGATACAGACCCTAATTGGTTACCCAGTTTGACCCTAATCATATGTATATTTTATTGACTTCAGTTTGCAATGTTTAGTTTATGTTCTTATGATGGTTTAAACCTATAGTCAGGCTTTTAAGTACAAATTTGTTTAAGTGCTAGACTTTCGGGATCAGTTTTCATTTCTCCATTTGTAATAGCTGGGTATTCAAATTGGAAGCAAATAGTTTTCTTTCTTAACAATTATGTGCAGTGTGTGTCCCTGTTTTCTTGCTTCATAGATGGACAGAGCTGGTTTTAAGTGCTAAAGGACACAGTAGATTTTTGACAAACAGTGGCTGCTCTGCTGACCATATTTTAGGAATTCAGAAAGCAAATCACATGGTGACAAGTCCTTACAACACCACTTCCTAGCAAACCTCTGTAAATGTGGATAGAAAGCTCAGTGTGAGGCAGTGCGTAGACCTAATGTCTACCTTTACGTTTGCTGTTGAACTGGGCACTACCTGCCACAGATCCTGTCAGGCTGTTGCAGCTGGAGGTGTACCTTTATCTTCCTTTCTAGCGTCTGACCCTGCAAGCCTAATGTCGGTTTGAACCCTTTTTGGTTTGTTCAGTTGCCAGCCTCCATCTCTCCCACTATATGGCTGTGCCTAGACTGATGGCAGCCATCCAGTATTCCTCTGGGCTCATGGGTGTTTTCCACCCCTCTGCAGCACCCAAGATGGTGGGGGAGAAGGGGTTAGAATAAAGCATCTGAATACGGTTTTTAGGACCTCAAGCAGACTTCCTAGAGACTTGTTTCTGAGACAGTTCTTTGCCTTCACTTCCCTGCTAGGTGGGAAAGAAGAGTGGAGCAGAGACTCTGCCTGGCCACTGAGAACAGCCAAATTCACAAACCCTCAGTGGGGCTTTGTTTTTGGATTTTCTCCAGACTCATCAGTAAACCTGTAGAAGTGTTGCTTTCCAGCCTTTTGTTTCTGGATCCTCAAAACTCAGAAAGTGGCCAGCGCATGGTGGCTCTCATGCCAGCTAATCCCCAGCACTTTGGAGGCCTGAGGCAGGCAGATCACCCTGAGGTTTAGAGAGTTGGAGACCCAGCCTGGCCAACATGGCAAAACCCCATTCTACTAAAAAATCAAAATAAGCTGGGCGGTGTGGTGTGTGCTTGTAAATCCCCAGCTGCTCAGGAGCTGAGGCAGGAGAATCCGCCTTTGGAAACCCCGGGAGGCAGTGTTGTATGAGCCGAGATTGCGCGTACTGGCACTCCAGCCCTGGGTGACAGAAGTGAGACTTCCGTCTAAAAAAAAAAAAAAAAAACAAAAACCTCAGAAGCTTCTTCAGAGAGAAAATAAAGGAGGGAGCCCAGGGCCAACATACCAAGCCTTGGGACATGCTCTCTGGGATGACAGAGCCCATCCAGGTCGTGATCTTCGCCCCTATTAGTGCCACACACATCTACTCACAGTGTCTCCCTCAGGCTTATCGGGCAGGGAGAAACTTCACAGGGGGTTCATGGATAAGGCTTCAAGGAGGTCTGTGAACCCCCAGAATTGTGTGTGTGACTGAGTATGTTCTTTTTTCCAGAAAGGCTCCAGTGGTCGTCTTAGTTGATCCAAAAATTGTTAGAAAATTAATCAGAAGGCTTGGCTTGGTGTTCCACTGCCTGTAATTCCTAGCCACTTTGGGAGGCCGAGGTGGGTGGATCCTCAACGGTCGGCGTTTGAAGACCAGCTGGACCACAATGGTGAAACCCAGTCCTCTACTAAGAAATACAAAAATTAGCTGGGTGTGTGGCATGTGCTGTAGTCTCCGCCTACTTGGAGGCTGAGACAGGAGAATCACTTGACCTGGGAGGAAAGTTGGCAGTGAGCCCAAGATCTCAAACACTGCACTCTCAGCCTGGGAACAGAGTGAAACTCCACCATCAAAAAAAAAAAAAAGGTTAATCTAGGAGATAATGAATGGCCTAGTACTAGATAATAAATGCCCCCACAAGCTCTTGACTTCTGTCCTTGGGGAAAGCCATTTTGTTAACCACACTAGTGAAATTTATGTGATGCTTAATGGAGAACAGAGAAGATCTTGTTGCAAAAAATGTGTTAAATATTCGTGCTGTTTCTGTATGAGATTAAGAAGCTTTTCCCACCTCTCACCCCTGTTTCCTATAAGGATATCCAGAGAAGCCAAGCTGTTCTGTGTGTTTGGGAATGGTCGTTTCCCGGGAAGATGCATTTGGATCGATGACTAAACCTGGCCCTTTTCTCTGGGCTGTAGTGAAGCCGCATTTTCATGCTGGCTGGCTGTGTGCTGAGAGAGCCTCGAATGCTCTGCCGCATAGTGCCCTTCTGCCCTGCCTGAGGATGTGTCGAAAAGATGAGAGTGGAGGAGCCTTTGTGCAGCAGGAAGAGGCTAGGTGAGGTGTCGGGCAGTTGTGGGGAACTTCTGAGAGTATTACAGACTGGTAGAATCAGTAAGAACTCCGATTTGGACGTCGCTTTGGTGGAACTGTGTGTCTGTATCTGCCTGTGTATGTGCAAGTGTGCAGGTTCCTTTGTGTGCATGTGTACGCGTGGGAACCTGTACTTGTCATATTTTTCTTCATTTCACGAAGGCTTTTTTTGAAGCAGTGGCAGTAATAATGCCTTTGTTTCAAGAACACATGAAATTCTTTTAACACCAGATTAGCATGTTACCCAAAATGAACCGTTCTAGCCCTCTGTTAAGAAATAAAGGGACCATAAGCATTTTGGCTGCTTATGGTTGTGTGTTACTACTTACAAGTGTCTTGAAAATTATGCAGAACTTTGCCTTCTTTTTTTAATGTCTTCCACAATGTCATGACTTATTATAACCCTGTTTCCCCTCAGAGAAGAGCTGTGGCTCAGGGATCTTTGTTGACTCTGGCATTTAGTAGCTTTGTGAAGGAAGGAAACCATTAAGTGACCTGACAAAAACTGATTGATGTCTTTAAAGTAGTTGGAACCACTTTTAGAATGTTATTCTTGGTTGCTTTTGCCTACTTCTAATGGCTTAAAGCCAAGAAAACCATAGTATAAATCCTTTTGTGTACCTATGCTAGTGTTAAAATGGCAGTTTGTTCTGATGAAATATGTCACTTCAAGTTTTATGTGAGAGTTTTTAATTAGGTTAAAAATAATTTTGGCATACCTCTCTACTCAGTTTATAAAGCAATTCCACACAATGCAAACAAAACTCTAACAGCAAAGGTTATCTTGACCTGATGTTACTTGAATTTGAGAGAAAGTCATTACTTACTACTGCACTCCTGCTTTTGTGGGAAAAACTTTTTTCTTCCCCAGAAGAGTTAACAGTTGAGTGTTCAGCTCCTGACTTACCTTTAATTTAGAGGCAATATTATTACTGTTTAAGTGATTATTTGCTTGCCACAGGTTTTATTTTGTCTTTTTTCTGGTAGATTATACAATGGACAACTTTAGTGATGAGGCATGTGAATGATTTGGTGGGAGTAGGTATATACTTAGTGGAATGGTATATTTTATGGAAGAGAATTCATTGGAGGTGAGATTGAAGTATATTGTAAAGTGGGATTTGAACAGCACATATGCTCTGGTTTGCTCAAATAACTGCAGTTTATGCTTGCTTCTCAATTTTGTTTCTGTTACCTAAACGGGAGCTTCTAGAATTATGAAGGCCAAACCTGCCACATTTATAAAATAATGGTTTTATTCCTGCCCCCAAATCATCAGGTTCCTCGGGTTTAAGAGAAGCGGTCTCACAGACGGGAATAGAAGTTGTGGTGGAGGTGATTTGGGATAGACTGAGTTCCCTATGCAAGTGGATGTGAGCTCCTCATAGAAACCAGACCTACTGTGTTAGACAGTAACCTCTAACCTCACCTCCTCCAAGCCCAAGTGTACAGCCCTGCTGGGTTACCTGGTGACTAAATTTCCCAGATTCACTCTAAACTCAAGGTAGTGACCCAAATAAACTGGGAGAGGAGCGTGTCAAGGAGGAAAAGCTGTTGAAAATCTTCTCCTATTTAAGAGAAATATATGCCCTAGAGCTGCTCCAGCACCCTTGGTTTCTGATTTTTTTAATATTGAATATGGATTACAAGAATGAAATCAGATGACTGCAAAAATGTTTATAAGCAAATAGCCTTCTTACATTTTGGTATAAAGCTGTGAACTTCATAACTTTGTAAAGCAAGATATAAAGCAAATACAAGAGGAAAATAAAGTACTTTTACTAACTGACAGTTTACTTTCGTTACCTTGTCTGCATATTCATGGTCAGCCCTTTCCACGTTGGCTTAGCGAGGAAGAAGGAAACTGGGTGGAAAACACAGGATGCCTGTAGATATGCCACAGGCCATGGTCCAGGTAAGTTTAGCAAACTGCTGCGTTCAGGGTTTTGTCCACGGTCACACGACAGGCCAGTTAGTGAACAGAGGAGCTAGGATAGCTCAATCTCCACTCCATGACATTCAGGTAATTGGCCCCTCCTGTTGTACATAACCCATTTATTCTTGATGTCTTTTACAGTAACAACTATTCCTCTGCCTTCCTTTTATGTCTTGGAAAGTATCTGAGCAATTCCTATGCTCAAGAAATAGCAATAGGCATGATTAAAGGGGGGGTTCAAGATTTTTTGTGTATATTTTTCATTGTTCTCTTCTAGGTCATAGGTGAGTGTAGGATTGGAAGCCATTCAGTCATGCTATGGCTGATATCTAAATGTGAGACAACAAAACACAAGGGGACCAGCCATACACATGCCTTTATTTAGATCAGCTTTTTTCAAAATGCAGCCAAACTTACGAGTCGGACAGCCCAAAGTAACCAGCCCTATTCCACTGAGTGAGTTTACCCCACAGCAGGCCTCTCCTGAAATAACCAGGCAGAACCCAGTGCTGGTTTGGTTCCTGGTCCGTGGTGGGACAGTGTGAAGATGATGGAGGGCTCTAGCACAAGGGGGTGCTGAGTGCCACCAGCAGGTGCTTCTGCAGACAGCCTGGAGCAAGGTTAGCAGGAGCACTCGCTTCAGAACCAAGGCGGCTCGGACCAGAGGCAGGCACTTTCCTCCACACGGCAGAGAGACAAGGGCTTGTTCTTCCTACCTCACTGCTTTACTAAAGGGCCAGGCTAGGCATGACTGATCAGGGATGAGGAGGGGGTAAAATGGAGGAGGAACAGGACTGATGAGGTGCCTGGAGGACTGCAGGGGTGCAGCTGCTGGGTCCTTTGAGGTACGTGGCTTTGGAAATAGAGGGTGAGATGGAAATCCTGAGTGATCCTGCGTGGCTTTGGATGAGGCCAGCCTGGTTCAGGCATACATGGTGAGCTGCAGCCACTGAAAGAAGTCCCAAGATCAGAATGTAGATCAGAAAAGAGTGACCCCGCGCCCCAGGAATCTTACGGGCAAGAGGAAAGGGAACAGTCCCAGTAGGTCAGACCTCCGGAAGATTTTCCAAGAAGCAGTGGCTTACTGTTTCCTTTCTCCTAGATCTTCCCTAAGAAGGTGCATGTTTTCCAGCATCGAGTGACTAGGGGGGCAGAGGTCCCTTTGGGCCTCAAGTGCATGTGTCCTGTGAGCCCACTGAGCCTCCCTCCACGTTCTGTTCCTATCCCCTCCCTCCACCACTGTGTGGAAATGAGCACACCGTGGGTCCAGTCTGCCTTGCTGACCCTCACCTTGCGTTTTAATGTGCAGGGGGAATATGCTGTGCCTATGCTTTACCTCCAGAACGTTGAGTTTGATGATACCGTCTCCATCCTTGTCAAATGCATGAAAAGCTCCTGTGAAAGAAGGCACAGGCCAGAGGCCAGTTACAGGTGCACTCTACCTGTACTACTGTAACTTCCCAAAGAGGACCATGTGCCCAGTGCTGTCCCTCATCAGCACAAAGATCTGCAGGCAGAGAATCACCAGCTTTGCCATCCCATTCTGGGCCTAAAGAGGGCCTTGGCCCTTGTTGCGCCTGGATGGGGCAGACTGGAGATTATCAGGTGAGATGCCTGTTGCCACAACTGCCCCTGCAAGAGAGCGGAGGGCAGCCCCTCTCCCCCACTTACTGAACATTCCCTCCAGCCTGACGAAGCAGCAGATGAAACTGTCGAAGTCGATGTTCATGTGTTTGTCTGCGTACCGCATGGTAATGATGTCGTAGAGCTGGTTGTTGAGGTGGAATCCTGTGGAGGGGACCACGTTAAAGGGGGACATGGAGCTGGAGGCCTGGGGCCTGCCTTCTATTTTCCTTGCCTCTTGGCCACCCTGTGACCTGGGAAAGGAAAATGAGAAGCCCTTTCCCTCTCCTTTCTCTAGTGGGGTCCTAGTAGCCTAGTCCCCTCCCATTCCTGCTCCCACCGCCTCGGGTCCACATCCCTCCCACCCCTTCCTTCTTAGCACCTGCGTCATTGACTGCATTTCGCATCTCGTAGCTGTTAATGGTGCCAGACTGGTCTGTGTCATAGTGTTTGAAAATTTTCTGGCAATAGAAAATTTGAGGATGGAGGTCACACACTGAATCTCCAAATCAACCCCGTTCTTCACTCCCACACTTCATTTTCTCTTCCCACCTGCCAGGCCTTAATCTTGTTCCAGAGGTGGTGGAACTCTTGCAGGTTGAGCTTCCCAGAGCCATCTGTCTGGAGGAGGGAGGTCAGGGCTACACAGCACATAGCAAAATTCCCCTGGATTTGGAGGGAGGGTCTAGAAGACTCTGCCTGGGCTGTCCTAACCCTGTTGTGGTATTTAACCCTCCCCTCCACTCCGCCACCAGTCAGAGATTGCACCTACTCTGTAACCCAGGGAGCCGATCTCCTAAGGGCCACTTTTGCTTGGGCAGGATCCCAGGCCTGAGAGAAGCACAGGGGTTAGGGCAGTTACAACCCAACGTCCTCCCCTTCAGCCTCTAACAACCCCTTTCAGAGGAGTATCCAAGATGTTCTGAATCAGGTTCTGAATTAAGTGTTTTCCTGGGCACAAATTAGGGCCCTTTGCCTGACTGGGCACCCTGTATGGTGCCTTGGCCCCCGTGGGCTGATGACAGAGGGTCGGGAAGGGGCGGCAGGAAGGATACATCCATGAGCGCAATCATGCTACGGCAGGACTCCAGTGTGAACCCGTGTGTCTTCAGGTCCTTGTCTGGGGGGATGGAGAAGAGTGAGAAGGTGCTTTGAGACAATGGGACTCCCCACCCACCCCCCACATTTGGTTTGAACAACTCACGTTTGTTCACGACTGTGTTAAGGACCTTCTTGAGCTCATCTGCACAGATTTCCATGTCCTGAGGAGGAAGGGAGAGGAGGGTCATGGTTCAGGAGTACAGCAGCTCCTGGCGCAGACGCTTTGTAAAACAAATTCCAGCTGGCCGTGTTTGTGAAATCCCTGTCGGTGCTGTTATGTCATGGGAAGCTAGGGCTTTTCTGAGGAAGACGGGGGCCAGATACTGCACCCCAGCTATCAGGACCACCGTGAGCAGAGCAAAAAGGCTTCTGAGCCCACCAGTGGATGTGGCAGTCCAAAACTCAAGGACTTGTGGATTTCTGTGCCACACACACATTCCCTGGCTCCACCGAAGTCCAAAATGACCCTACCAAACAGTAACAAAATAATTGGTAATCTGAGCAGTTAATCCAGGAGAGAAGCAGCACCTGTGGGCGTCCTGGGCTTGGAGGTACTCACGTCTCCTGCTATCTGCTTGAAAATGTTCCGGAATTGTTGCTGTTCCTCACTTTCCTGGTCAGAGCTGCCAGGCTGTGGCTGTGGAGGCACAAAGGAAAACTGGTTCACAGGGGTCAGAGGTGCACAGGCCTGAGGGGCAAGCTCCTCTGGGCCAAGGGAGCCAAGTGCCCAAAACGGCCAGAGGTGACAGCAGGAGCTGGGACAGAGGCAAATGCAGACCGGTGAGCTGCAGTGAGATGCATCGAGGCCTCAGTGACACCTCACTCCACACCTCTCCAGCCCTGACGCCCCCAGCCAAAGGAGATGTGGCGGCCATGCAGACACAGACAGCCTCCTCCCCACCACCCCAGTCCCCACCCACAAGAGCCGCCTCCACCATCCCAGGCCCGACCATTCCAAACAAAGGTGCCCGCAGGTCAAAGGTCTGACTGTTCTGATTCCTCCAGCCACTCTGTTGTCAAGGCCAAGTCCTCAGAGAACCTCCCCTAGGCCCCAGTGCACGAGGCCATGGATAGAAGAGGGGCCTCGATTGGTCTGAAGACTTTTGCCTCTAAGGCTCACCTCCACTAAGCACCGCACTCCAATCTAACACCCTCCTGTGAGCCCTAGAGGACCCCATTTCTGATGTCAGACCCACTTTCTGCTCCTATTCTTTATCCCCCTATTGTAAAATGCTCAAGGACACCAGGAGACAGGAGTTGTACCTCTGCTCTCAAGCTGGTTCTGTCTCAGCCTTTGCCTCCCCTTCTCTCTGTCCTGGCTAGATCTACTCTCAAACTGGTTCTGTCTCAGCCCTTGCCTCCCCTTCTCTCTGTCCGGGCTGATTCTGTCTCAGCCTTTGCCTCCCCTTCTCTCTGTCCTGGCTGGATCAGCTCCATGGGAGGTTCAGCCTGCCAGTCCACTCCTAGAATGGAACCCCCATCCTGGGATATTCACCCAAGCAGCAGCCCAAATTTCAGGGGAACTTGCTAAGAGAAAAGGTCAGTGGGACGAATCCAAACCTCTAAATGTTCAAGACAACCCCCTGGGAAGCCTCCAGCCCGTGTATCCCAAGCGCATAGGAAGCCCCCGTAGTGCGCTGGCCGCCCCACCCATGCCACGTGCTCAGACACCTGTGGGGACTGCTCTTGCTTATCAGGGCTTGTTTTGCCTTTGCCCTCCTCTGACTCCTGGTCCACACCCAGCTCCTTGTTGCTGTTTGCTCTGTCCGAAACGAAGATGATGGGCTGGAGAGAGGAGGGAAGGAGGGAGCGGGCAGGAAGGAAGTGAAGATTACAGTCTGAACAGGCACACTGAGGCAGCCTCTCTCTTGGAGCAGCTTTATCCAGTGAGAAGAGGAAAAGAACAGGCGGGAGCTCTTCAACCTCAGTTCAAGCTCTATCTCTGCCACTGACAAGCCGTGTGACTTCAGTTCTTTATCTTTTCATACCCACTCCATCCCTCATGGTGGAGTACTGAGCTCAGCATGTGAAATGCTAAGAATGCTAGAAGTGCAGTGATTGTCAAGTATTTTGTGGACTTTTTTTTTTTCCAGATGGAAACACTGTTCAAACTAAATTTCCTGCAGAAACA